AGACAAAGAGGGTGCACCCTGGTATTTGTAAAACATGCACTTATGAAATCAGATAATAACAGGTACAAAGAATAATGGCACAACTCTGATTGCCTGTGGAATCATAAACATTTTGTTCAACCAGTTGTGCACACCTTTAGTCTGAGCCAACTCCTTAGATGTCAGAATTATCTATAATTTGATACTCATGCTTAGGGAAAAAACTAAATGTAGTTCCAAAACTGAATTAATCTTTCAGCATATAAAATGTCTAACAGAATATCATTATTATGACCTTCCTCTGTGTTCATCAAAGAAAAAAAAGCAAAACTAGAGTCCTATTCATAAAAAGCTCAATTATTTATTTAGTAGCACAACTATAATGGAAGAAAATTTATAGCACATTGTGCCAAAGAGGTAATGAGTACAATTTGCAAGTGCATTGTCAAAACCACCCATCCATTGTTTGAGTGGGAAACTGGCACGAGGACTTGCTCCTTGGAGGAATATGGGCACACCTCCAAAATACAGTTTATTTACATGTTCTTTAATCACTGGAGCTTAGAGACCTGGATGCATTTGAGGATCAATGAAAGCCATTGGAAGGCATCACCTGTGGGTGAGGAGCTGCTGTCGTGGGCACAGAGCGGGAGACAAAGCCACGGGGACAAGGAGGTGGCAGAGCTCTGTATCACAGAGGTACTGTGGAGAACTGGAGGAGAAAGGCAAAAGATAAGGCTGGAAAGGCTTCTAAAACCACTGGGGACCATGATGGTACAGGGCCATGGACATAGAAATTTCTGTTTGATTTAGGCACACCCTGGAGCCAGTTGTGTTCATAGGCTGTGCTTTGCCAGGTTGAGCTTCCCCTTGTGTTTGTGAGCTTGAATGTCAGATCACAAGAGACTCAAGATCACTCAGTGCATAAAACATAACTCTACTGGCAAAGCAAGTGCTTGTGCTACCTGCTCTGGGAAAAGAGATTAAATCATCCCAATCAACAACTTGGTAGTTTTAGACAACCCTTCGCATTAAAAATGAGAGCTCAACTTTGGACTTGCCAATAATCAGTTTCTTGGTTTGAAATGGGATTTACAATGTGCAGAGGTGAGAACACTGACAGCATTCGATGAACTGTCCCTACAGGACAACCTCAGAGGAGGCCAAGTGGTCCAGAACTGATTGTAAGACAAATCCCTTGGTGGGGATGAGGGGGAGCAGGGAGGAGTATGAAACTGCTTGCTGTGCTGTTAATTTAATCATCTGGGAGGAAAAAAAGTCCTGGGAGAAAAAAAAACCAAAACAGAGATAATGATTTAAAATGATGGAAAATAAATGAGCTCCTTTTAATTAGCAGTGATGCAGTATGAATTTTGCAGCTTGCAGGGCTCCTTTGTGAGCCTCGAGTTATGTGCTTGTAAAAATAAAGCATCAGAACAATCCAGTGGCATCAGAAAAACCAAAATAGGTTTTATTTCACTTGATGTAACAAATCTAACTTCCCAGTTCTGGGCTAGAGGTTTTCCCTTGGGCATTCCTTCTCAACAGGCAAATGAAAATCAAAGGCTTGGAAACCAGGAGAGCTTGTACCTGCTGTGAGTGGTGAAATCACAAGTGAAATCTTTACAGCAAATCTAATGTTATGCCAGAAATACATCAAGGAGTGGGTTTAGCCCATTGGGTTACAGCCTAGTCTAGATCCTTCAGAGTGATTTTCTAACTAAAAATCGAAAGTGTTTCAATACAAGGCAGAAAATCAGAGTGCCCGTAAGGGAGGCTTTGAAAGTTTGTTTGGCTCCTCAGATGCTGTGTGAGTAAGTCTGCAGCCTGCAGTGCATCCCTTTGCTCCTCTTTTAGGATTCCTGGGGCTGAGTCAGTCAGTTGTTTGTCCTCCCACGTTCTTGGATGTTGGAGCTGGGCCATGTGCAGAAATGATGGGGAGGAAGTTTAGCTGCTCCATGTGAAGGAGGGATGTCATTAATTTCTGTCCAATCACAAAGCTATGAAGGGCCAAAATGTGATACTTAAAAGAATGATGGATGTTTTAAAATCCAGTGCCACTTTCACCTCAAAGCAAGTACCAGTGGCATTTGATACGTTTTATTTTAACCTAGGCTAGAGGTTAGGACTGGCATTTCAGCCAGGTACAGCATCAGGCCAGTGGTTTTGTGGCAATGGTGTGACTAGTTTGGGTCAAGTACAATGTCCTGTTTAGGTTCTTCAGTTGCTCCTTTTATTAAATCATCATTTGCAGTGAATTCTATCATCCTATCTTTTCTTTCATATGAAAAAAATATTTCTGATGTTGAATATGAGAAAAAATGGAGCAAATATCTTTCATGAGCTGAAGGGTTTGTGGGAGGAGAAGGGATTTCTGTTTCTACTTCAGTTGTCCCCATGAGGGAATAAGAACAGTAGATTGAGAAATAAGAAATTAAAACATGGTATTACTTAATTGAAATACAGCCTAAAAGTCAGTTCTACAAAAAGTTTTGTAATAAGACAGCCCTAGTCAGGATGGCATTGGAAATATCTGCCTAAACAGTCTCAGTGCTGGTGCCTGAAGCTGGTGTAACTGTTCATTGCATTGCTGAAATATCCTCATTACAAAATGTTAGGATGACTCTGCTTCAACTGTAAGGGAAAATTAAATGACAATTGCTGGTGTAATCCATAGTGTAACCTGAGCTAGAGCACAGTGAGGGATGGAAAGAAAAAAGCTGCCCAGAAAATCTGATGTGACTCATTCTTCTTTGCTCTCTTTTTTTACATATATTATTTTGAGTTCTTTTTTTGATAGTCTTCATTTTTCATTGGGAAGGTACTATTAACTATATTTAAGATTACCCTTGAGCTCATTTTAAGATATATGCAAACATCCCTCATCTTAAAGAAAGCCGGTCAGTTTGGTATATGCTACTTTCTAGTATGTTAAAAAAGAAAAAAAAAAAAAAGGGTGATTTTGAACTTACTCTTGGGCTTACCCACTCATCCTCTGCCGTTGCTTATTGTGACTGGTGTTTTAGTTCTGCAGGGTATTGAGGTTATTTGTCAAACAAAGGGTTTTGCAGGCTGTTTGTAAAGGGATGAGAAATAAGCTGCCCATGCACTAGAAAGGGATTCAGATTTTTTGGTGACTGCGAGTGTAAGGTGCTGAGCTGGATGTGCAGATCTGACTGTTTCATACGATCTTTACCTGCGCTGGGCATTTCCTCCATCTGTAGAGGTGCACCAGGGTAAATTTGGGTGGTTTATGACAGGAAGAAGCTCCTCTGGCACAAGTGACAGCCCCCAGCATGTTTCTGCCCTCACTGCTGTGGCTGTGCAGGTGGTGAGAGCAAACTTGGATGGGTGATGCCCACAGGGCTGGAGCCTCTATCCAAAGCACCTGCAACAGCCACCTCCACAACTACTGCTCAGTGCAGGCAGGGCTTCAGCAAAGGTCTGTCACCCACATGTTGATTCCCCTCGAAGCAAATCTGCCTGAAGAAGCCTTGGATCCAAGCCCATGCCCTCCCAGGGCTGCAGGGCTCTCGCTAGTGCTGCCTGGCTGTTCCCAGGCTGTGCTCAGCATCCAGCTCCTAATGGGATTTGATTGGAATAAATAAATAAATCGAGGAGCTCTTCCAGGCAGATGCTGTAAAACCAGCCCTTTTTGCAGAGCTGATGTAGAGCACAGCCACAAAGAGAAGAAAGCATCAGAGAGGAACGTGAGGAAGTGATTTGCAAGGCATGGGGGCTGGTACCCCTGGACCACCTGTGACATAGGGCCATGGCCTCACCAGTTACTCAGTTGGAAGCAGTTTTTTCTTTGTAACTGTTGCTGACATTTTTTTCAGTCACTTGGTGGTTTTCTCCACTGACACAGTTCTGGTGGCTGAGCAGATACCATTACCCTGTTAGACTTCCCTCTTTGTGGTTTCCTAGATGTGCTTTAGGATTCCACATTGTAAGAAGGATATGTTATATGAATATTTATCTTGACCAATTTTTTTCTTGATAGTATCACTAGGAGAGTGTAAGTCATTTGACCAGGACCATTGCAGTACCAGTTTCTCTCATCTGCCCTATGAAATATCTTTGTCACTTGAGATGAGTGGATGGTGAAGATGAAGCAGGTGTCAAAGGCATGTAGGGCAGAGTTTTGCTGGGACAGGAATGTGAAGCAACCATGAAGAAAAGATCATGGTGGCATCCAGGACCCCTGCCTGATAAAATACAAAGCACATATTTCAGCTTTTGTAACCCAGTGCTTTTTCTGAATCTGACTTGTACACTTGCATTTCATAAAGATTTGGTCACCATGAATGCGAAGAAATGTGTGAAGTCATAAATAGAAAAGCTGGAGCAATTTGTGCCTAAATTGGCAGAGGAAATCTGAATTGGGATCCAGAAATAAGTGTTGCCAGGAGTGGGTGAAGGTCACTGAGCAAGAGGGGTGTGAGGAGCAGTAGCCCCATAAAGCACAGTCGTGTAACGTGAGTGGAGGGATGGTATAAAGAAGGGCAGATCAAGCTCGGAGCCAGTGCTGGCTGCGCAAGGCTGAGGGAGGACACATGGGATGTGCAGCAGATCTTTGCCCTGGGGTGAAGGTGAGGAGCCCTAAGATGCGGAGGTGCTGGGCACAGGTGGGCACCAGGGCTGGTACGGGAGTGTCGGATCCCAAGAGATGATCAGAAACGGAGATGGGGTGCGAGGAGATGGGGCAGGATGAGGCGGAGCATCCCAGGTGCTGGCTTGGGGTAGAGCAGGTGCCGGTCGAGGGCAGGGCAGGGTAGGGAAGGGCTGGGCTGGGCTGGATTGGGCTTGGCTGGGCAGGGCTGCCCGGACCAGGGCGAAGCGGACCCGAGCCCGCAGAACCGAACAGAGCCGGGCGCTCCAGGATAGGCGGGCGGGGGGACAGTCGCGACCCGCAGCCCGGTACCCCGGGAGGAGACACCCGGCCCCGGTGCCGGCGCGGAGGGCGGAGCGGGCGGCGGGGCGGGCGCGGCACCTGCGTGCTGGGAGGCGGCGGCGCCGGGCGGCCCCTCGGCGCTGCCGCCAGACGGCGGCGGGCCCGGCTCGGCGCTGCTGGGAGCGCATCCCGCCCGCTCCGCTCCGCTCCGCCCCGGCACCGCGGCCATGACCGACAACATCCCGCTGCAGCCCGTCCGCCAGAAGAAGCGCATGGACAGCAAGCACCGCGGCGGGTGAGCCGAGCCGGGGGGGCAGCGCGGTGTTGGTGCTGCGGGGCGGGCGGCGCGACCCCCGGGGCGGTGGCGGGGCCGCGCTCGGGACGCTCTGCGGGATGCGCGGGGCGGGCGGGGCGCGGGGGCGGCCGCGCTGCGAGCCCCGGGAGGGGGAGGAGGAGGAGGAGGAAGGGCAGGCAGGAGGCAGGCGGGTGCTGACAGGTTGTTCCTGACGCCATTGCCTGGCACGCCCGGGCGCAGGGCAGGATCGTGCGGGGCGGCGCGGGGAGCGGGGACAGCCCCGGCAGCCCCTCGCGGGGGGACAGGGCGGCCTGGCCGGCCCGCACCGCATCCCCAGCCCCGCACAGCCCGCGGACAAAGCCCTGCCCGGGCGGCAGCCGGGGGTCGCGGCCGAGGGGGGCACCCGCCCTGCCCGAGTCCTGCTTGTCATCCATCCCCGCTGCGCGCATGGCTCGGGGCTGGAGAATCCCTCGGCCTTGGACCATAAATGGTGTGTGTGGATCTGTAACAAAGGCCCTCCCTGGAAGCTCTGATTAACTGTATCAGCTACAGCAATACAATATCCTTGGTGTGCGATGTTGCAATATCCTGAGTGTGGGCTGCGTTCCTGAAGGAGATGCGTGTATATATTTGTACTGGTATCCCCCTGCAGGAAGTTAAATAAGAAAAATGGTCCTTTAATACTATTTCGTTATGAAATTGCACCACTATGCAGACAGGTTGGCTTGCACACAGTGGGATATACAGGGTATCCAAGTTACCTGGCTGTCAGTTACTGCTGCATTTCATTTGTCCCTAGATAATTTTTTTTTTTAACTGGGTGATTTGTATTAGCAAAATAAACCAAAACATCTAAGGAAATCCTCACTGTTAGAACAAGGGGAAATATTTACATTTTCCTTGTTTGTTATGGCTTTGGTTGATAGTTTTCATTCAGATTCCTGTAATTGACGTTGTTGTATATAGTTTATTCAGTATTAGAATTATGCACTGTTTGTGTAACTGACGTGGCAGTGCCAGTTGAGCTGGAGGAGTGTGTGATGCAGCAAGTAATTCCCCAGTGCCTGTGTCACATGCATCACCGAGCAAGTACCACAAGGTGCAGCCACCATGGCATTACATTTGGTGACGTGATTGAAGGGATCAGGGAGAGGTGAAGGCCTGAGAAATTTCTCAAAGCTTCTTGAGTGATTTCTTTTCCAGAAGTTCTCTAATCTCTACCAAGACCCTCTTGGGTGTTACAATGTGGTTAGTACTGTCTAACAGAGATTGCCCTCATCTAACCTAAGCTATGGTTTGTTGGGCTCTACCTGATTAGCAATCACAGAGATGGTTGCCAGTGTTAGTGAAAAATTTTGGCAGCACATGAAGGGAGATTGCCTAGGATTTTTCTCCATAGCAGTTGAAATAACTTGCGTTTGGGATTTCTGTTTGGTGTGGTAACTGCTGGGGATGGGACTTGTCATATGTAAGGGACCCTTGTTTTACTGATGAGTAGCCTGTGACCTGTGAGTAGTTTGGTCAAATGACAGTGTGGATAAGAAAGCATTGAAGTCAAGCAATGTACTGTAAACCAAAGAAGAGATCAGCCAGCAGCAGGGTCCCTGGTGACACATCCAGAACAGTGTCCTGGGAATTCTAAGCCATAATCAAGACCTCCTTTTTTCTCTTCCCTCTGAGGAAAAACACAAACAAAAGCCATCCAAGTTATGTTCCTTGCTACATGTGAAAACCCAGGGATAAGCAAATCTTGAAAGGCTTCACCTTAGCATAGCCTTTACTCACTTCTACTGTGGGGGTTTTCCCCCTGCCAGTGGGGCCAAGTTCTCAGACAGAGATTTTTGTCACTGTGGTCTGTCTGGAATGGGGAGCAAATTTCTGGCCATGTACTGAAGGAATTTGTAGACATCTTTGCTTCTGTTAACACAGTAATGAGAAATGCCTAATTCTCATGTAGGGCAGGTGTCATCCAGCAAGGCTTTCATTACCCTCAACCTTTCACATACTTTGAGGAGAAGCCAGGGAGGAACTCGCTCAGTAGCCTTGCAGAGATGAATGATGGCTCACAAGGCTGAGGTCTGTGTCACAGAGAAGCCATGTGCTTAATGAACCAAGTGGCAGCTGTGGTTATCTGTTCCTGAGCATGACTTTAATGTGGCTCTTCCTTGCTTCCATCAAAGGCTAAGCTCCAAATTCTGCAGCTGTGTGCCTTGGATTCAGCCATGTTCTCCCAAATGCTTTGCAGCGCTCTGGAAACCACTGTGAGCTATGTGCCAGCTAGGAGGGAAGGACGGCATTAATTACAAAGGGACTGTTGGTGGCACGGCAAGTGAACCTGAGCTTCCCAGGGGCCGAGTTCTTCTGGGAAGGAAAGCTACAAGTTCCTGAAGAGCCCCAGGTGCCCCGTTCGGCACATGACACGAGTTTTTCCCTAAATAGCTCATGGTGTCAGTCCACAATCCTGCAAGGCTTTTTTTGAAACCAGCAAACTGCTGCGCTCTTGCTGCTGCTACAATGTAAAAGGCCTTGATCCAGAAACGTGGGGGGAAGGATGGGGATTGGGGCGTGGAAGGAGGAGCTCTTCAGTAACGCTCCGTGAGGCTGTTCCACTGTACATGCCTGTGTACTCTGGCTCTGTTTAAAATGGCAAATTCCATTTCAAAGTCAACAGAGAGAGATGGGAGCTCCTGCCCTCCATCTGCCTGCGTGTGGGTGTGCCTTGGCACGTGCAGAGCTGGGCTGCTTTCCCACAGCCGAGCTGTTTTGCTGGATGGCAGGGGTGGGCTGCAGGAATAGCAGCTCTCCTGGCCCCTTCCTGAGCCACAGCAGCTGTGCCAGTGCACGGCCTGAGATGGGAATGTTCAGAATGTTTCATGTGGAATGTTTGACGTGGAGGTGCATAAAACAGGCTAGGCAGTTTTGCATGGCTCTGGATTTCTTTGTCCATGAAAAATTCGTTATATGGTTTGGAAATAATGTCATGTGGGAGGTTGGTTTGTATATTAAAGGTGCCAAGGACTTACTGGCACAGCCCATGAGGGTCATAGAAACATCATCTGAGAAATGTACCTGTTTTAAAAGTGACTAAATATGTCAATGAACTTCAGCACTAATTTGACAAATACTACCACCGTATTAGACAAATGTGGGACGATTTTTCCATTAGGTTTGTTTTGCATGAAAAATGCTTATGAAAGCATTTTTCACTTGATCTTCAAATACTTCTCCGTCAAACACGCTGCTTTTGTAAATAAAACCTGCTTTTTGGTAATGGCTGTTCATCTGGCATCTGACATTCAATCTGTCATATTGCTGCTTCTTACATCATCACTAAGGATGCATGTTTGTAAGCAAACACAGTCCTAAGTGAAGTACAGAGCAAACCTGTTCTTCAGCACCTCCCATTCATTTAGATCCCTGTGCAGATTAAGGAACACGTCATTTATAGGACTCAACGTTTCAGATACAGTTCACATCTAATGAAATGCTTTTGAGTGGTTGTGACTTTATTTGGAGATTTGTGAGCTTGTTTCTTCTTTATTTTTGCCAAGTTATGATTTAAAATGTGAATAGCACAGTGCTGTAAAAGCTGCCCTATGTAAGCTGCCTTCATGTATTTTTCATGTTCTTTCTATAAGGTGATCATTTTTAAGAGTTCATGGTTTGCCCTGACTTGCTAGTTTATTATACTTCAGTATAATTTATTACATTGCAGTAACTGTTCTTCAATACTTCAAAAATGGAGAAGGAGAAATGTTTAGGAATGTGTATTCATTCCTAAACTTTTTTAGAAAACTGCTCATATTTCTGTAACTTTGTGATTTGTGTTCCTGGAAAATGTGTATTAATTTTATCAGCATTTCTAAGCAGTGATGTAAACTTTCAGCTGCTTTTCCGGACAATCTTTCCCTTTCAAGGCTGTTGTCTTCTGATTTCTTGATGACAAGTGTTTTATTATTCCTAATAATGCCAATGGTTCTCTGCCAGAAACGTTCTCCTGTGACACTGCCCTTGCCCTGAGCAGAAAACTTTGGAGTAATGTGATGGCCTGAGCATCCCCTTCCCTCATCATCTGGGTCTCTGAGCTTGATACTTAAAAACAGGGGTGGCATCCAAAGAAAGAGTAGGTCACAGAACTACACAATGCCTGTAGGCAAAATTCTTTTGGGGGAAATGAGTAAGTTAACTGGAAAAAGGACTTTTAATTTAATGAGCACGAGGCTAATCTGAAAACACGTTTGTACTTTGGTTCTGGTATTTGTCAAATTTTTGTTTGTTTTTTTTTTTTAGGTTAAGATTATTCAGTTTTAAGAGGAGAAAGGGAAGAGTGTCTGACATGTTCCTTGTTAGGGTGACCACCCATCTTTCTACTTCTTCTTTCCCTTTTGCTCTCAGTATGAGCTGTGTTTTGTCCCCCCATCATGTGGGTCTCCCATGTTGGATATTTAGCAGTAAATGTGCTTGTGGACATTGGTGTTTGCTTGCATTGCAACATCCATCAGGTGTGACACAGAAAAGGCTCAGGCAGTGGGACTTTCCTGCCAGTGCATGAACCTGCCCTGAAACTGTGAAAACACAATCTGCCACTGCAGCAGCTCCTTTTCTTTGCAAAGTGCTTTCTAAGGCTCACAGATGTCATATAGAGGATCTTAAAGCAGAAATAAGGAGCTTATTAATGTGTTCTTCCCCAGTGAAGTTTAAGACATCGTTGAGAAGTTAAATGTAAAAATTATGGCAAGTGAATATCTTTGGAAGGAGTGATAAACATCTGCCTGTAAGAACGAGCACATTGTTCTGTGCTTGAGAAATGTCTGTGTTTTTACAAAAAATTTCGTTTTCTATCTTATTTCAGCAAGCCACGGGCTGGCACTTGAGGAATGAGTGGGTAAGATAACATTCCTGCTATCCCAGGTTTTGGATGGTGGGTTTCTGCCCTGTGCCAGCCAGCAGAACACAAGAGGGAAAACCAAGGTCATAGAGTAGGTGAGAGTTAAATGCCAGTGCTGGGGTTGACCAGGTGCCTTCCTACCAAAAATTCTTTGAATGACTGCGGGGTAAAAGTCAGCATTTGCCAGGATTTTCAGGCACTGGTGCCTGAGTTCCTGGCTGAGGCTGCAGCTGTGGAGGAGACTCCCAGCCCATGACGTGATGGGATTCCTGAGTGCTGATGAACCTCCCCAGTCAGTGTTGCAACTTGTGACTCTGGGAGTGCTGGTTGTAGTATTATTCAGTTTTAAGAGGAGAAAGGGAAGAGTGTCTGACATGTTCCTTGTTAGGGTGACCACCCATCTTTCTACTTCTTCTTTCCCTTTTGCTCTCAGTATGAGCTGTGTTTTGTCCCCCCATCATGTGGGTCTCCCATGTTGGATATCTAGCAGTAAATGTGCTTGTGGACATTGGTGTTTGCTTGCATTGCAACATCCATCAGGTGTGAGACAGAAAAGGCTCAGGCAGTGGGACTTTCCTGCCAGTGCATGAACCTGCCCTGAAACTGTGAAAACACAATCTGCCACTGCAGCAGCTCCTTTTTTTGCAAAGTGCTTTCTAAGGCTCACAGATGTCATATAGAGGATCTTAAAGCAGAAATAAGGAGCTTATTAATGTGTTCTTCCCCAGTGAAGTTTAAGACATCGTTGAGAAGTTAAATGTAAAAATTATGGCAAGTGAATATCTTTGGAAGGAGTGATAAACATCTGCCTGTAAGAACGAGCACATTGTTCTGTGCTTGAGAAATGTCTGTGTTTTTACAAAAAAATTCATTTTCTATCTTATTTCAGCAAGCCACGGGCTGGCACTTGAGGAATGAGTGGGTGAGATAACATTCCTGCTATCCCAGGGTTTGGATGGTGGGTTTCTGCCCTGTGCCCAGCCAGCAGAACACAAGAGGGAAAAACAAGGTCATAGAGTAGGTGAGAGTTAAATGCCAGTGGTGGGGTTGACCAGGTGCCTTCCTACCAAAAATTCTTTGAATGACTGCGGGGTAAAAGTCAGCATTTGCCAGGATTTTCAGGCACTGGTGCCTGAGTTCCTGGCTGAGGCTGCAGCTGTGGAGGAGACTCCCAGCCCATGACGTGATGGGATTCCTGAGTGCTGATGAACCTCCCCAGTCAGTGTTGCAACTTGTGACTCTGGGAGTGCTGGTTGTAGTATTGTGTTCATTGGTTGGGTGGTTTTTTTTTTGTTTTTTTTTTTTTTGTTGTTGTTGTTTGGTTTGGGTTGGGTTTTTTTTTGTTGTTGGGTTTTTCTCATTTTGTTTTGTTTTGGTTTGGTTTTTTTGGTTTTTGTTTAATTAAATCCTTTACATATAAGCCTCTTGCTGAAAGGCAGTGCAGGAGACTTTATAGTGAAAATGCTGGATATTCTTTACCTGAGCATTGATAATACTGATATTTGCCTTCAAAACTTGCTGGGCAGGAAGTTTTGTCGTTTGTTTGTTTAATTAGGTTTCCAGTTTGCTTTCCCTGTAATTCAGGAGGTTGCAAAAACTGTGACTTGAGCCAGGCAGGAATTTCACAAACGTGTTATTTTTACACAGCAGATTCTCCCATGCCCTTTCTTGCTTTTACTTGGGGATGCATTATTTTTAGGTTGTTTCTTAAACCTTATAGTAACACAGCATTTGTAAATTAAAATTCTTACAGCAAAGAGTGTCTTTGTGGTGGGAGCGCTACAAGAGATCACGACTTTGATTGCACAAATCAAATTTTGGGTAATTTCACTTTTGTCCAGTTACCTTCTACTTCCCTGCCATTGTAGGTGCTCTCAGTTTTGGGGGCTGCTGTTTTATTTAGAACCACACCAGTGTAAGCAATTTTGCATTGCTAGGTGTTAGCATTCACAGAGTAGTGAATTTCTAGTAATTTCAAAACCAAAAGACTAAAAACAATGTAATGGTATATAAACATCTGGTCAGAGCACACTCTTCTTAAGGTAAAATATTTTGATTACTTTGTGGGGTTTGTTTGCTTTTTTTCTTTTACATCAATGAAGAAAACACACTGGTAAGTCATTGAACTTATTAAAAGTCTGAAAGTCTGCTTTGGACATTTAGGTATTGGTTTGTAGATGTGCTCAGATATTTGGAAGTTTCTTTAGAGCATATGGGTGAATTTTATTTTGTAAAAAATATTCCCAAGACAAGTAAAAATTGTATTAAATTGACAGTAGTGCCCTCTTTGAGCCTTACTTATCCTTTAGCAAATATTATGATATAGGTGTGTGGGTATTTTTGCTGTTGAGTACAATCCTTATAAGAGGCCCAACCTAAAAATAAACAAAGGTAACTGGTTTCAGATGTCTGATTACAAGGACTGACTGACTCTGTAAATGCAAAGCACATTGTGATGAAATGGGGTGTGTGGACACCAGATTTGCTCCCTTGGGCAAAGCCTCTTTTTTGGAGCCTTTTCTTCATTGTGAAAGAAGGAAAACTTCTTTTTTTCACCTCCTTTCTTTTTTTCTTTTCTATAGAGCATATCTGTTTCCTATTGTGATCCAAATACCATTTTTTCTGTTAGAATATATTTGGGATGCCAGTGAATATTTGTCTTAGGTCTTCATCTGCAAAGACAAAGGAAAACTGCAGTTAAAAGCTATCAAGCTAATAAAATACACTTGTGTAGTAGAGTTTATGAATTTGAGTGTTTAACATCAGCTTTGCTGTTTGTCTCATGTTGGTAACAAACTGCCTTTCAGGTGTGAGTTTGTAAACAAATGTGTGGGGAAAAAAAGATCTGATAGTTTTTCTTAACAAGCAAAAACAGTTTGTAGAGTTGACAGAAATTGAGGACATCAGGGGCAAACATAACTTTTTGAAGTGAGTTACATTTGGGGTACTTATGTTAATTATGGTTGTATGCTACTACCTTGGGAATAGTCAAATATGAAAGTCTATTGGCTTAGAAACATTACAAATTCAGAATAACAGGTAATATCCCTGTACAGAGGAAAGCAGAGATGACAGTGGTGCTGCAAGTCTGTAGGAAATCAGATGCCTCTTGTATATACCTGAACATTAAAACATCTCCAACCATTTTATTCCAGATATTTGATTTAGGTTTTCCCTACTATCAGGGTTTGAACTGTTGGCCTTGCCCACTGTGTTTATTTCTCTGATTTTCCTGCATTCTCCTACTTTTCTACCTGGTGTGGGTGAAAGCAGTAGGATCATTATTGAAACTGGAGGGACCTTACACACCCTCTGGTTTTGGAATGGAGGGTTTGACTTAACCTGGGGCTGTAGGAGACTGTTGGGCACCATCCAAAACTTGTGATTTTGTGTTCCCTCAGTGCCAGTATGGGAGTGCTGTGTAGTGCTCTGCTGTCTTGTCAGCATTTTGTTCTCAAAGCTTTTTTGAGCAAGAAAGCCACTTTTCCTGCGTTTGGGTGGCATTTCTACACTTAGGGCTCAGGCTGTGCTTGAGTACAGACTAGAGAAAATCCACCTTGCCAGGGCTCATCTGTCACTCTTCATGAAATAGAATAATGACTAAGTAATTTGATTATGCAAAAATTCTTTTATCTGGTTTTAAAAGCTCATGAGAAATTGTCTTGCAAGCCAGCCTTGTGAAGTTAATGTCTGTGTCTGCTCATGGAGCACTGGATCACATGGTGACACCTCTTCTTTATTTCTGAAAGCAAAGTTGGTTTTTACTCCCCTTCTGTACTGAGGGAACTGACTTAACTGATTATTTGCATCCAGCAGGGCATAAAATATTTTTAAAAATGGTTCTTTGTAGGAAACCACCTTCTGTGTGGCGAGTTGTGCACTCTGATCACGGTGCCACATGTATCTTCTGGCACGACAAGGACTTCAAGAGCTGAACGCTTTGTGTACTTCCTGAAATAGTTATTTCTTTGTTAGCTGTGCATTTAAGTGAACTTTTGTGGCAGAATGCTTGATTCAAGAACAGATCTTTGTGGTGCTTTCTGGAAAGATGTTTATAAGAGCTCTGAAGCTTTTGGTTATCAATCTGGCTGATGCTGACTTTCCCAAATGTCAATGAAATTCAATAGGGCTGTTTTTAAAGGAACAAGGAGGGTTGGGAAGAGATTGGCTTTCAGAAAGAAGCAGTGACAACAGGAAAATAACTCTTTGGGGGTTTGGGAGGGTACAATGCTGTGATTTTGAACAGAGAGGCTTTTTCAAGGTGCAAGAGGGATTCATGATATGTCTTTACATCTTCTGTGGAGGGGCTGATGCTCTGTTTGATTCCTTGTATCGAGTAAGGATTTGTAACACCAAGCAGTGTTAGTTTTATTCACTAAAATTCCCAGGAGCAGGGATTTCTAGCTGGCCTTAGTACCAGGCTTGAAGGTCCTGCGAGGCACCTGGAGCTGGTGGCAGGGGGGGGCTCCCACCTGTGGAAAGAAAAGGTCTGGAGGCAAATGTGTGTGGCTCAGAAAAGTGTGTTAAAAATGACTGAATTAATTAATAAATTAATGTTCCTTCTACAGGTGTTGTGAGTGCTTAAGATGCTGTGGGAGGAGAGACCCGAGGCCTCGCACTGTTTGGCTTGGCCACCCCGAGAAGAGAGACCAGAGATACCCTCGCAATGTGATCAACAATCAGAAATACAACTTTTTCACATTTCTCCCTGGGGTAAGCATGAGTAAAGTTGCTTTTCATCATCCCACCCTAATGCTTTCCCTGCTTTCAGTGGTTTTGCAGTAGGCAAGTGCAGAACCTGGAGCTGGAGAAAATCATGCTTGGGTTGGGTTTGGTAGGCTTCCTGCAGAGGCTGCCTTAGGGCAGACACAGATCTGTCCTGAGTGGCCAGGACTACTTTAAGACTGCCCCAAGTTGGCATTTAGTCACTGGAAGAGCATGCAAAAATGTTTCTGGTGGTTAGGTCAATATGCATAACATCTGAACTCCATTAATCTCCTCCATCCTCTTCTTTTCTCGTTTTTTAGGTATTGTTTAACCAGTTCAAATACTTCTTCAACCTTTATTTCTTGCTTTTGGCCTGCTCTCAGTTCGTCGTTGAGATGAGGCTTGGTGCACTTTACACGTACTGGGTTCCTCTGGTAGGTCATTGAAGGTTTATTTATTCAAGAAGGTTGAAAAAGAAAGAAGTTTTAAAGCCCATCCTGTAGGTCTCTACATGTGTCTGCATGTTTAAATACTGCAGAAATTTTCTACCTTGCATTTCAGTATTAAATTAATGAATTAGATCATTCATTTAAGCCAAGATGCATATGCTAGAAACCTTCAGCTTCCAACATCACCTTGTCCCCTTCTAAAAATAAAAAGTTCCTTATTGACAGAGATAATCAGAACATGATTGCAATTTTCAACAATACAGGTTGTAAAAACTTCATTTTCTGTGATGGATGAGGAGAGTTTTAACTGTTTAGAGAGTCTGAGCTCAATAATGTCTAGTAAAAACATGACTTTGTGATACTAACCCCATAAAGAATTGTTTTGCATTGATTTAATTATTTTTTATACAGTGAAGGGTGTGATGTGGGCATTTTCCTCATGACAAATGGCAATGAAATGACTACTCATATCCACAGAAAAGTAGGACTGAAACCCTCATCAGGCAAACATGCAATTACACCATGAGTAGTGCACATTTATATCTTTAGAGTGCTTATTTGTGCAGGTTGAGTGTATGAGTACATACACAGGAAGGCACATGCATTCTATATTTGTGTATCTGCATATGTAAATTTCTGTATACATTTCTATATAAATAAGGATATAAAATAAAGAAAGGTGAGCTAACTTTGATGGCTCTGTGGTGGCAGGAGTACTGAGTTTTGAGGGATCCTGTCTTCCAGTGGACTCCTGTGTAACCCCTCTCAGTTACCTGTGAATTGAGATGAAATGTGTTAGTTACATTCTTCAGATAAACTTTACAAAGATTTGCCTGGGGAGAGAATCATGGTAAAACTGAAAAACAACTGTGTTTTTTTTAAGGAATGAGGTTTTTTTAAGCAGGTCCTGTCAGTTTGGTGTTGGGAGTCCTGCACAGTGGCACATACCACTGTAACGATTTAGGAAGATAAGACGGAATAAGGAAATGCAGATTGTTGGCATTGGCACTGGCAAATATTGCTCTTATTAGAGGCAGATGTGATTTTCCCTGACCTTTCCATCCATTCTGTGTCCCCCCTCCGTGCTCCTTGCAGGGGTTTGTGCTGGCTGTGACGGTGATCCGGGAGGCGGCGGAGGAGATCCGATGTTACATGCGGGACAAGGAAGTGAACTCGCAGATCTACAGCAAGCTCACAGCCAGAGGTCAGCCCGGCGGCTCCAGCACCCCCTGCATCCTGCTGCCACTCAATCCAACACTGCTGGCAGGCAGAGCCAGGGCCCCAGGAGTGGGGATGGGGTCGTGGGCGTGTGGTGGCTGCTGAGGAGCCCTCAGGAGTCCCGGTGGCTTCTCCTGGATGGCTCCTCTCCAGGCTGTGCTGGAGGCTGGGATTTGCTGAGGGGTTTATGGAATCATTGAATGGCCTGGGTTGGAAGAGACCTTTAAAGGTCATCCCATTCCATCCCCCTCCCATGGGCAGGGACACCTTCCACTATCCCAGGTCGCCCCAAGCCCCATCCAGCCTGGCCTTGGACACTTCCAGGGATGGGGCAGCCACAGCTTCTCTGTGCTGTGCCAGGGCCTCCCCACCCTCACGGGGAACAATTTCTTCCTAATATCCAACCTAACCCTGCTCTCTGGCAGTGTGAAGCCATTCCCCCTTGTCCTGTCACTCCAGACCCTTGTAAATTGTCTCTCTCCATCTTTCCTGCGGGCACTGTAAGGCACAATCAAGACTGAACAATCCCAATTCTCTCAGCCTTTCCTTGTAGGAGGAAATGTCCATATGTTTCCTAGAGAGGTGCCCAGCTAATGCAAGGGTGTGTGTGTGTGATAATTGCTCAGGTAACTTCAGATCATCATCCAGAGGCTTCAACTCCAAAGGAGCCTTCCTTGGTGGGCTGGGAGTTCACTGCAGCACCAGGCAGGGGCCAACTTCAGAGCAACTGATGGGATATTTTGAAACCCCAATTGCTCCTAACTCCAGTGTAATCTAAAACATCTTTCCTGATTATTGTCCCTTGGTGGATTGGAGTCACCAAAGAAAATGAAACTGGAGGTGGATGTTTCCAGAAGGGAAATGTGTTTTCCTTCCTGTAAAGCTGTGACGTGAGAGAAGAGCTCTGTAATGTTGTGTGGATAAAGGGAGGGAGGGGCAAATACAGCAAACAGCATAGCAGGAAGAAAACAATAGAGCTGTAGTAGATGAGACATGTTATTTGGGGATTTTTTTTTTGTTTGTTTGGTTTTTTTCTGTTTTACCCTTGTCAGTGAGATAGAAAGATGTGAGAAGGATTTTCTGTAAGTTTTCAATTCATATTTCTTAAAGGAAACCACAAATGTGTGCTTTAAAAAGGGTCCAAATGGGCAGATTGTTTAAAAAAGTGCTTTACTTGAAAAAATAAATGTAGGTGTGTGAAATTGTCAGGAGATGGTTATGCAGAAGGTGAAGGGTGGGGACCATTCCAGCACAGGTACCCCAAATCCTAGTGGAGTTCAGGTACTCTGTGTACTGAAGAATCTTGAGTGCATGTGTTAAATTTAAGGTACTGACGTTTCATCTGTTACAGAACATAATAGCGGTTGAGTTTCATAGCTCTTTTTTTGGGTTATAGCAGACAGGGACTCAGATCATGTAAGTCCTTTGATAAAAAGGACTGTGTGATGTGTGTGTGTTTCTGTCAGCAGCAACTGATGTAGTTCCTCAGCACTGGCAGTATCAGCTTTTGTATTTTTTTGTATACATCATCTTTAGCCTCTTTCTCCAACTGTGAGGAGTTTGGAGCCCTCATTTTAGAGCCCAGGCTGCAGCTCAGCTGAGTCTGATCCCTGGCTCTGACCATTGTTTACAGCTGTGCAGTACCTAACAAAGACATTTAAATTCTCATTTGAAAAATCCAGTGCTGCCTCACTATGGAGTTACTCCTAATACCATGACAAAGATGGTGAGGCCAGGGTTTTGTTTTAAAAAGGGAATGAACTGAATTTAAGCAATCTTTTTTTTCGTTTCCAGTTTCTTTGTTATAAAAGTTTATATTCCTGAGTTAAGATGCAATGAATTGGGTATAAGAAAAAAATGCCTCCTTTCAACAATTGCACTTTTAAGAATAAGGCTGCTTTTTCTATGCAATTGCTTAAAACTATATATATTTCAAGTGCCAGGAGTTATGAGGCAACTCCAAACTAGGGAGTTTGAGTTTCTGAATATTAAATCCCCTTTTAATAACGTGTTCTTACTACAACACTTAAAATGCTTGGCAACCAACAAAAGCCTCATCCAAGAGGGGTGTACTACATCTATTTAAAGATATAAAAGAGTTGCCTTCTGGATTCTATTCAATGATCTATAAGGGGCCTGACCTCTCCTTCAGTTCTTTTCATATTGCTATTACGTTTCCCATGAATGATTTCCCTCCCCCCAGTCCTTTAACTTTTCTGATTTTGTGAAAGAAACCAGGGAGGATTGGCAGCTGGACACTAGCTGAAAATCTTAAGCCACTTTATTTAACATGAATTTGGTGCAGAAACAGAAATGAGATTATCTGATGTTACAGTTTAGAGTAGAAAAAACATAGAAAATTATTTATGATTGTCTCATAGGGAGAAAAGTAGTTTTCTGTCTCTCACTGGATCTCAGTACTTAATTTTTTGGAAGACCTGACCATCTCCTTTTCCACCAATTAAAGCTTTAGCACCTCTGAGAATTACCTGGGAGCAGGGAAGGACCTTGTGAGCCTGGCCATGGCTGGGGATGGAAGTTTTGGGTTTGGTTTATCACATCCACTAGCACAGTCAGAGAAAGGAGGCAAGTTTTTGAGGGAACCCTTTGTCACTTCAGAAGTAGAAGCAGCAAATATCAAAATAAGTTGAGAAGAGCTGATGTGAATGATTAATTTGCAGCGTAGCTGACAAAACTGCAGGTAGGGCTCGACTTGGGCTGTTTGCAGGCTGTTTCTTTCTTTTTTAATTGCTGTTGACTAGCACAGGTCGTGCTTCAGGATGTTGACACAGCCCTACACTGAGAGGGGCAGTGCAGAAGGTACTGATTCACAAAAGCCTTCTGAACTGTTGCTATATAATTTTTTAAAAATCTTCACGCTAATTTCTCCTCTAAAGCCAGAGTTTGGGGGAGGGGGATTAGTGAGGCTCAACACTAAGCAGTGTCTTGGAGATTGGCTATAATGGATCTAATGGAGCACTGTGGCTTTCTCCAAGGGACTTTTATTTCTCCAGAGCATTTGCACTAAGCTGCAGTTAAGGTGACTGGAGAATAAATTTTCCCATCTCCAACCTTGGCCTCCCTCTGCAACCCCATGGGTGTAAATACATACTTAGGTCTGAGTGAACTGGGGGAGACTTAAGCACGTGCTTATGCACAGTTTTGAACAGGGAAGTAATTTGGGTGCTTTCCCAAGCCTCTTGTCCCCTTTGTGTGCAGCTCTTTGTGCAGATCCATGGCTGGAGCACGGCCAGGCACAGCCCCTGCACACCTACCAGCCTGGTGTGTTATCCCTCCCCCCAAGGAGGGATCTAAAAATTTTTTGAACCAAAAAGCACATTTTGGATTTGCAGCTTTGCTGCTGTGCGTGAAACTTTTTTCCTGCACTCTTCTTGTTAAGCTTTTTAAGATTGATTAAGCTGCTTGCCTCGTAGAGAAAAAGGAAGAATCCTCTTTGGATCCCATTTATTTTGAATATAGTTGCTGCATTCCAGGGACTAATCTTTTAGAGTAGACAGTAGCGTATTTTCTATGTTCCTTTATTTTACATCACAACAAAAAACTCCACCCTAAACCTCTTTTATGTTTTTACCAACACGATCCTTTTTATGTTCCAAAATGATCAAACCACCAGACTTCTGGAAAGCATTTTTTTTGTGGAAAGCTCTCCATTTAAAGGACAGTTGTTTGGATTGCAATAAAAAATAATCAAATTTCAGTCCCCTATTCATAAACCCACAAGCCTCCTTGTGTTCAGAAGGCTGTGTGCTGACTTTCTGCTTGACGGAAAGTTAGAACTGTGCTTGCAAATTCTTGGTTTGTTTTTCTTCTCCTTCAGCCCCCCCTCCATGGGTAACACTGCATAATAGAGAGAAACTCCACAGAAAAGTGGGAAGAGACCTCCTACTGAGGGGTGCTACTTAAGATACAGATCATTGGCATTTACCAGCCATATAAAAACAATATTTTCCCAAACCCTCTGAGTCCTGCTCCACAGCATAAAGCTGCAAAAGCCAAAAGTGTGCTGCAGCACGTCCAAACAACCCTTTTTTTTTTTTTTACAGATGTATTTAACTTGCTTTCATAAACTTTTTGCTTCATCTTTAATTCCAAATTAAGTGTTTTGATCTGTATCTCAAGTGAATCTCTGCAGATCTATTGTGAAATCTTAAGTACTGACATGGTACAAAAAAGGCATCTCTTCTGGCCAATGTAATACTTTAAATAATCTGCTTTACGGTACATCTATTATGCTGCAGATCTGGTGATAATTTCAAAGACCATAGCTTAGGTCTGGAACAAACTGTTTGCATTTTATTGTGTTTATTATTTTGTCTTTCAAAAAATAAATCAGGATACAGCAAAGAATTAAACAAATACCAGTCACACTTTAACAACAAGTGGGTTTTTTAATAAGAGATCAAGACTAGTTCCCCTTAAAAAATGTGTTAAATACTGACTTGTGTTCTGATTAACTTCAGAAAATATAAAATGAAAGTGATATATAAATGCTAAACAAACCTGTGTGTATTTAGAGGAAGCACTTCTAGTTGCATTTATAAAAACAGTGATTTATAATTACAAAAATACTTTTAGTAGCAGAGCAATATTGGGAAATGAAACAATTGTGTTATTAACTAGTTTTAGACATGCTTGAGAAAACATCTGATGTTTAGGTGGCAGTGTCCCCACAGAAAGAAAAAGGAATTACAGAATTCCCAAGATCAAAATAAAACTAATTCAAGTTAGTTGCTTTATGGGAGTCCTGAGTCAAAGGAAACATCTGGTCCTGCTCCTTCTTAGCAGGACGTGTGGTGCAACTGCAGAGATGTCACCCACGAGGGGCCAGGGATGGCTGCAAAAGCAGAATTAGCTACCTAAAAAGGGCATCTCATTTATACAGGAGTTATAAAAATGTGTGTTGGTTAGAAAGGTCCCCTCTGTGTTTTACCTTCAAACAGCTGAGGTTGGGAGGGTTATTGAACAAGACAAATCTGCTCCAGCTGCTTTGGGTTTGCTCATATTGGAAAAATTTTAAAGCAGATGATGCTGTTTTCAGAATAATGATCTAAAAAGCCTTTCATGTGCATAATGATAGGAAAGCGTCACATTTTACCTTTGTCCAGGCATTAATTTTTCTTTTGCAGCACGATTTTTTTACCTCATTAGGGAAAGCACTACAAAAAATAAGTTTCCATTCCTGAACCTTCCAGGCAGTGCTGCTCCTACTGCAAATCCTTGTGATCTTTAAGAGAATACAGAAAATACGTTTAAACAAATCTACCCTTGAGAGTATACCTAAAATATGGTTGAACAAATCCACCTCTCCTTCCAAGAGCTTTCTTGCACAGTGTTTTAGGAATGGCTGTGCCTGTGTGGGGAGAGCACACGGGTTTTTTTCACCCCCCTTCCTTTGCACAGGAGAATATTCAAAAGCACTTTTTGTTGTTTTGTGAATAACCGTATTAAAGGGGGAGGAAGAGATGTTATCTGTCAGACCCTTTTAGTGTCATAGTACCTAACTTTGTATAGCCCATACAGAAGACTGCCAGGGATGCTTTTTTTGATCCTCTTGGAGTGCGGCTTTTCTTTTCAAGCCTCAGCGTAATGGACTCTTAATCCCCGGTTTGCTTCCTGCCCCGGCAGAGATGTCTTCAGCCCAGCATTCGTTTTGTTTACCTTTTTTTTTTTTTTCCTTTTTCTTTTCCTTTTTTTTTTTTAACTTAAAAAAAAAAAATCTCACAAGGCAAACCCCAGAATCCACGAAAGACCTATGAGATATTTGTGAAATGGGCCATGACTGCTTATAATTTGTAGGAATAATTACAGCATGTAAGGAAGTCTGCGTTTATTAGCAGCAGTGCTGAAGCATGTTGTTAAGCACACAGTGTGTCACCAGAGCAGCAGGCTGCCCGGAGCCCAGAAAGGCTTTCATTGTTAATTTGGAGCAGAAACACTGAAGCATATCCTGAGAAGGATGCTAATGAAGGGACTGCCAGTAGTAAAATCCCAGTGACCTTTGTGCTTTGTGCTAATTTCTATTCCCCCTTTCTCCCTTCCCCCTTCCCTGTCCCCCCTGAGCTGCTATCTGGCCATTTAGTCCATGAATTTTGAGGTACAGTAGGAGTGTTGTCCATGCTGGGGTGAGCTCCACGTGCCTCCCCCACTCCCACTCAAATCACAGCAGATTAAAGAGGCTTTTGTTGAAATATAACAGACAGACACATAGAGGCAGGGTTCAAATTAACTGATTATAAATCACTGCTTAGTCTGAGAAGCCAAATCTAGAGCTGGCTAATGATTTGAAATTACTAGCCAATTGTTAAATTAATCCCCTGTTTTAAAGCAACTGGGAAATGTTTGACAGCTGCACAGAAATAAATATTTACGTGTTTTCTGTAGGACCTGTTCTCTGCAGGGCTCGTTCTGGCTGGTCCATGGAGAGGCAGAAGGGAGGTGGTAGAGCTGAGTCAGATACTGGAGCTGCAGCAGGGGAGGAAATGAGCCTGGTTTTTAGATGGACCCATTGTACTTGCAGCTTCCAGGTCTTGGCTTGAGAGTCAAGCTTTAAATTTTCAGCCACCTCAGAAAAAGGAGTTGATAGTTCCTTACTGTAGTTTTCCTGTTCTTGCTCTGTTCTCTGCCTGACACTGAAAATATTTTTGAATTCGTGAGTTAAACAGTACAAAAAAGAGTTGAAGGAGTTGTTACAGAGTTGTCACTGGGGGTTTTTGCATCCAAGGCTGAGGTCTGGAGCTGGCAGACTAGAGGCTTTCAGCTCTTTTTGTAGACTGAGTTCCCCCCACTTTACTCAGTGGGCTTGGAAAGTCTTTACAGGCCAATTCTTGTGATGGAGACATTACCCTTTTCCCCCAAAATAGTGCAGTGGAAGGAAGGGAGGGAAGGAGCATCACACAGCACCCAGAAACCCTGTCCTACTGCTGCTCTAACACACTGGTATCTTTCCTTTGCAGGGACTGTGAAGGTGAAGAGCTCTAATATACAAGTGGGTGACCTCATCATTGTTGAAAAGGTTTGCTTTACATATATACATCTTTTCTGTCTGAAATACTTTTTTTACAAGTGCATAGAAAATGATGTAATTTTTAATTCATATTTATTTTACAAATCACAATAGAATGTTGTCTTGAACACTAGTTACAATATTTAATCACTTTTCAGGGTTCCCCTGCCCCACCAATAACACCACCATCTTTGCAAACCTGTAGACGTGCTCCTATAACCTAATTTTTCTACTTATACTATAAGAAGATAAAAGAGCCTCCCTATCCTTTCTCTGACTGTTGGTTAAAAGCTGTTAAAAATCCAGCATTCAAATGTTGCTTTGGGTATAAACACAGTATTGGTAGACACAGTGATCCATTTGTAGATACTGGTATAATTCCACCTTTATACAAGCTCGTATGTGGGGTTTTTTATCCACTGGTTTTATGTTTTTCCCACACACTCTCTGTGCAAGCAGCTATGACCTTTAAAGCCATTAGTATGAAAATATTCAGTACAAAAAGAGAAAATTGGTGGCTGCGGATTCCAGATACAACCTTTTCTTCTAGCATGGGACTTCTTGAAAGGAAATCAGCGTTAGCTTAAGATTTCTTCATACTTCTAGAATTACTCACCAGCCTTTTTGTAAACCAAGCCCTTTGGTCTGGGCAGTGGGAGCTGGCAGCAGTTATTATTTTGCACTTGGAATTCTGCAGGGAAGTGAGTTTAGGATTCAAAGCAAAATGAATCCCAAGCTTTGGCTTGACAAAGGAATCCCCTTTCTCCCCCACATCCCCTTTGCTGGTCACGGTGGGGCTGTGCAAGGAGCTGCACACGCGTGCAGGGCTGGGTGCACAATAATGGCCTTTCTTCTCCTCCCAGAACCAGCGGGTCCCTGCTGACATGATCTTCCTGAGGACGTCAGAGAAGAATGGTAAACATCTGGAACCAATTGTCAAAATAGCCATTAACCTTTCACTGGTTGTTTAGAGAAAATTATCTTTTGGAAATGTGAAAGAGATAGATAATAGTAAAATTTTAGAGAGACAGACAATTCAAGCAGTTTTATGGACCACCATTTCTGGGCATGTTTATAGTCTTTTTTTGTTTGCTAATCAAAGAGCGTGGGGAGTTGAATCCAGGGTAGATGTATCTGGTTGCATAACAGTTTGCATTATAGATATAAATCATTTTAGTTGCTGTTCAGACTTGTTTTGTTAAGTGTGGGGTAAGGAATCAGAAGGATTAGAAAATATAAAGACTAATGAGAACATTTTAAATGTCTTAGAAATGTAGTGTCTCACTGTATTCTGGACTAGTGGAAGGAAATGAATGTGTGATGCAGGAACATCATCCTTACCTTATTAACAAATGTTACTTGGAATCAGGTACTGTTTCCAAAGGAAAAAGGACATGAATATCCTAGATATGAAGCCAGTTCATATGAGTTATCTGTAGGTGTAGCTAAGACAGAGCTGGAAGGAGCACTGACTGCTGTTTTGAAAACCCACAGGGTCCTGCTTCCTTCGCACCGACCAGCTGGATGGGGAGACAGACTGGAAACTGCGGCTGCCCGTCACCTGCACCCAGAGACTGCCGACTGCTTCTGTAAGCTCCTGCTGCAAACCTCGCCTTGCTAAACCTGGGCACGTTGTACCTGAAAAACGTTCAAGTGCCTCGGTCCACGGGCACCCAAGAGCACAATTCTGCTCAGGGCATGTGACAGATTAGCTTTGGCAACCAAAAATACAGGTGTGAACCGGCTCCTCCTGAGCTCCAGGGGAAGTGGCAGGTAAGGTGACACTGGGTGCCCCTGTGCCACAGGGCTCTCACCACAGGCTCTGCAGGAAGGCTCTGGGGTCAGCAGCCTCAGGTGGCTCAAGGTAAGATGCTCCTATTTTCTTTTTCCTTTCCAGAGACCATTGTTGCCACTCAGTGCAGGACAGGTCTTGTTGCCCTCTGAGATGGCTTCGGAGGCCGCTCAGTTTTCATTGCCCACCCTTATGAAAGGGGAGGTGTCACCATGGCAGCTCTACTGCATGATCTAAAATAAGCATAAAGCCTCCATCAAACATGCTATTTCCTCAAATCTCTAGCTAAAGCAGTTTGTGTGCTGTGTGTTGGCGGGGTTTTTTGTTTGCTTGTTTTTTAAGAAAACAAGTAAAAGAAGGGGGAAATCAGAGTACCTGCTTTATTGATGTTTTATCTGCAAAAAGTGCCAGGAGCTTATTCTGTACAAAGCCTTTGAAGCAAGGCATTCTCTCCATGGAGTGAACAAGTTCATACCTGTGTAGGAGTCAACAGTGAAAACCGTCTGCAGAACTGGCATTTGTCTTCTTGCCACCCCAGAACTGTCCTAGTGACACGAAATACTGAGTGACAGGGTGTGCCTCAGTTGCCTTGAAAGACCAAAGCTTCTTTGCTATAAGGTAAGAAGTATCTTAGGCTGCCTTGATTATTCAGGCTGAAATTCCTTTATGGGGCACAGAGATGTGAGTAAGTCCCAGCAGTCTGTCAGGTATCCCTCCAAGAAATACTCCTCAGTGAGGCTGCTACACCAAGTGTATGTTCTCTCAGACTCTTGGGCTGCAGTAAGTAACAAGATTTAGTAATTGCTGTAACTTGATAAGTAACTCTTGCTCAAGTATTCTGGTAGAAACACTTGTACATTATTAAAATGTGGTTGTCTGTCTGCCAAAACGTGTCTGTTTTGTAGGACCTGCTGCAAATCCGATCCTATGTATATGCAGAGGAGCCCAATATTGACATCCACAACTTCGTGGGCACCTTCACAAGGGTGAGTCTTGCTGACAGGGTTTTTCCCGGAGAAATAGTGGAGTTGTCTTGCATTTCTTTCTACTTTTCCTTTTTTTTTTTTTTATTATTTCATAAAATCCATGAAATAAAAATTGAAACTTTGACTTGGAGACAATGCCCTTAATCCTCTTTGGGATTAAGGACTTCACCTGAAGGTGTGAGACATGAACACTTGGACAAGATTGGTACTTACATGTTCATGGTGGCTGTTCAGAAGAAAGTCTGGACCACCATGGACTCTCTAGGATTAAAATCTTTGAATTGTGGAAAAAAAAGGGGATCTTAGCTGGGTTTGAAGGCAGTGTATGTGAACTCAGTTATATCTGCCCCCATTTCAGGGAGCAGCAGCACTGAGCCACTGAGAAATGTCACCATTAAAAACATATCTCTTCTGACTTGTTGGGAAGGTGCATTGTTGGGGCAAAAGGTTGATTTTTTTTTTCCCTTCCTCTCAGTGGGTTAATGATAGTTTTGAGAGATTCATCCGATACCCTTGGGGAGCTTCCAGAGGGCAAATGGGTTTGTAACAAATAGGAGGCAGGTAGAGCTTTTTAGAAGTTGTTGCCCAAACGGGTTCTCAGTGAGATCTTCCAGCAGCAGGAGAAATGCCACATGAGCCCAGGGAGGGAACACTTCCCTGGAGGGCTGCTGGCAAATCCCTTTCTCATTTTTGATTCCCAGAGACCTCTACCAGGCAGAGGTGTCTTAATAGATCCCCACTGAAATAAAGTGGTCATGTTTTTAACCCAGAGATTTACCAGGGATTATGAAAATCCTCCATCCTGTCAAGAATCCCTCTACCAACTCTGCCAGCATCCCTCTGCAAACACCTCTGTGTGCCTCTGCTCTTTTGCTGACTATTTTGTTTCTTTTCTTCCCATTTCAGGAGGACAGTGACCCTCCAGTAAATGAAAGTTTGAGCATAGAAAACACCCTGTGGGCCAGCACAGTGATTGCATCAGGTAAGATGGAGGCACGTGTGAAATTGTTTTGAAGGGAATATGTTAACAATTTTTAAAGGTATTTTTGTAATGGAATAATAATCTCTGTCAGTTGGGGAAATTAGCAGTTGGAATGAGGTTTCCCACTTGTCCTAACACCTCTGGGGACCTGAGCTGACATCTAATTGCCTCTTGGACATTCCTAGATGAGAAAGAATTGGAGTGGCCTTTGGGGCACTTCTTTAGCATGTAGGGCCAGAATAGCACTTAATTGCTCTCCACATTGACATCCTAATCTGTAACAGAAATGGTGTCAAATAGATTCTGGTAACAGAAGCTAAGATGAAAGATTTCCAGGTAAGTGCTTCCATTGAGTTCGTCCTATATACTTTTAAAAAGGAAAAAAATAAAGTCTTTGACAGATTTTGACTTATATACACGATAAGCTCCCAAGGCCTGAGAATAATCAATGCCCTCCTGTAGAGGCTTGTCAAAGTAAAAGCCTTGTTCCTCTCCTGTCCAGTGTGTTTGTGAAGCTTGCAGGGCCATGGCTGGAGGAGGGTGAAATTCTGAGGTCCAGTTTTGGAATTAAAGGTGTCAAATGGAGAGACTTGACAGTGCATTTGCAAATATAATTTCAAAGGGTTTATGCAATTGAGTCTGTTTTAAGTGGCCATAAACCAACTAGAAACTCTCCTGGCAGGTGTTTCCTCTCATTTTGACTCACTTATCAACATAATACTCAGTTTTGTTCCTCCTGTGGCAATAATAAATAGCAGGTTGTAGGTTATTTCTGTTAGGAAAAAGATGTGGGTATTATTTTTCTTCTTCTGTGAGTGAAAGCTGCCAAGTTGTGGTGCCATCTCACTGGGGCAGCCCTTGCTTGAAAGGCCGAGCAGAGCTATGTGGCTTCTCCATCTGCTGTAGTAGGGATGGGTCTGACTCTGACTGCTTGAGGTTGGATTTGGAGTAGCTGTGCCATCTGCTGATTTGAATTCTGATGATCTTACCACCACCTGCCATCTGGCTCCAGAGATTTGTTGTTGGTTTTGGAGGTATTTTTTTAAAAGGAATGTTTCTCAGCATATTTTTAGAAACCACCTCTTTTGAATCAGTCTTACTTAAAAATAATTCGCTCACAGCTTATTAAAACTTTGATCATTAATGAGAGTAGGGGAATAGTAGAGTATGAAGTAACAATGTGTTTGCAGTAGTGGTTTATTTTAGAGTTGCTTTTCTGCATTTTTTTACAGAGTAAAATTTTACGGTAAAAAAAAGATTAGAGCTTGACAGTAGCAGCTTTTAAACTCTTGATGGTACATAGCTTTTTCTTTATGGCTTTTTGCAAAGTCTTAAGGAGAAAACCTGGAGAAACCCAATAATTTATGAGACTAAATTGTATTATGTTTTTGCAAGAAGAAAATAGAGAACTTTGTTGCTCTCAGCTCTTTAGAAACTGTGGCATAGAGCATTAAAATACACTGATGGCCTCCCAGCAGCTCCATCTGTTACAGTAAGGTAGGAGTTGGTATGATTCACTTTATGGTAGCAGCAGTAATCAGACAACTTAAAGAAAATTTAGATTTTAAAATAAGGTAATTCTGTCTTTGAAAGCTGTTGTAATTCATTGGGTTTACTCTGATTGTGTCAAACTTCACCAATAAATAAGGACCACTGTCTGGTGTAAGGCAACACCAAGTGGTGGGAGGAAATCCAAGAGGTCCTCCATCCCCACCAACGTTTATTTATAGTATGGAGAGACAACTGACAGCAAAAGGGGGTCTGGGAAAGCTGAGAGAGAGCAAAGCTGACTGCTCTTTCCATGTGCATGAGTTGATGCAGTGTGGTTGAAATCTTACTGGCATGGAGGATGTTTTGTGTTCCAGTCCGTGTTTTCAACTAAGTGTCATATTGATACCAACTTTTTAAATTTCTGGTTGCTTCTGAATTTAACATGCTAAAAATCCTTCCCACCCAACATCCAGCAAGTGTTTTTATAGAGAAAGCATTTGTTTGTTTAGGTACTGTGGTGGGAGTTGTCCTCTACACTGGAAGGGAACTGCGCAGTGTGATGAATACTTCAAACCCAAGAAGTAAGGTATGGTGAAGAAATAGTCTTATAATAAATAAAAGGGTCAGAAATGGATAATTTTTTAAGGAAGATCCTTCCAAATGCTCTATGTACACACTACAGGGACAACCTCCTGGGAATAATTGATATTTTCTAGGCTGTGATTCAGGATAGTTGCCATAACAGAACCTATTTCTCCTTATTTTTTTGATCCTATTATACATGTGTCTTCGCACTTTTTTAAGGTTGGCTAAACCGTTGTTTTGTATGTTTATAATGAGACAGTCTCAGTCAGAATAGAAAAGCTCATTTTGCTGCATTATTCTATTACAGCAAAGCTAAGACACAGTGCAGGGATGTTTATATAGTGTCCTCTCACACATCTTCATGCGCTGCTTGGCTTCTAAAGGATGGAAATCTTATTTAATAAGCTGGCAAGAGTATTACTTATAAATTTAAATATGTTTGTAGTGTTTTTTAAAAGAGAAGCTGACTGGTGAGGAATGTCTCTTTGGATACAGCAGTTCATTTCCTTTGTGAATATTACATTGAACTCACACTTTCATTTGTGTGCTTGAAAAGTCTCTCTCTTGCTTTTTTAGATTGGTCTCTTTGATTTGGAGGTGAATTGTCTCACCAAGATCCTGTTTGGGGCTCTCGTGGTGGTCTCCCTGGTCATGGTGGCCCTCCAGCATTTCGCTGGCCGTTGGTATCTTCAGATCATAAGGTTTCTCCTCCTGTTCTCAAACATCATTCCCATTAGGTAAGGCAGCAATTGTTAGTGCTTCCCAGCAAAATACTGCTTGCTTTGTGTCCCCCTCCATGCTTCTACCACGAACAAGCACGTAAACTCTTATCTGCTCCTCGTTTTACAGCTAAGCAAATCTAGAAATAGAAATCAAGTTACTGTTCAAACATAAGAATTCCTTTGTTGTTTCTGCTGACTTTGTTCAAACTTATTAACCCATTCACTGACTCGGGCTGTGGATTAGTCATTTAAGGGCCCTTCTCTGTGTTTGGACTACCTGGTTACTTTGATAAGAACAGAGCAAAAAACGGAAAAGCAGGGTTATCTATACAGCCTGTAGTGTCATGGAACACAACTGTCTTTTAGAGGGGAATGAAACTTTAATATTGAATTGTACTGGATTAGGAAGTGAATTAGTAAATTACTTTGGGTGCAGTACTGGGATTCATTTGAGTTCCATTTTTAATCTGCTCTCTCTGGATCAATCCCACTGTTCTTACTCTGTGTCCATCTTCCCCTCAAATCGTATCTGTTCTTCTCATTGTAATTTTATCATCTATCTTTGAATTACAGTGTAATTACTTTTGCCACCCGACCACTGACTTTGAATATACTTCTCCTGAAACACCCTCTTTAGCAGCTCAAATTCAGGGTGGACTGTGTGTCCTTTCATTGCATTGAGGCAGTTCATGAGGATTTTTCCCAAAGTTTAACTGGTGATACCTTTTCTTTCCCCTTCCCCTCTTTTCCCCCTCCCTCCTGCACAGTTTACGTGTGAATCTGGACATGGGGAAAATTGTCTACAGCTGGGTGATCCGCCGAGATTCCAAAATCCCTGGCACTGTGGTTCGATCCAGCACTATTCCTGAGCAGTTGGGCAGGATATCCTATTTGCTTACAGACAAAACAGGTATCTGTAGAAAAGTCATGGAATGTTGTGGTTGGGATTTTGTTATGTTTTTTGGCCAGGCAGAGAGTATAATGTAAGTTTTTTTTGGACTAGAAGAAATATGCATTTCCTGTCACTTTGACATAAGATTTAATCTGAAAGAAAGTTCTGCTTTTTTTTTGTTCTGAAGGCACTATAGGTAAGGTAGGACAGGAATGTTACACTACTTCAAAGAACACTTAAAGCATGCTATTAAAACAAAAGCTGAGGGTAAAAACAAAATTAAAATCAACTTTTTAGAGATAGTTTTCAAAGCCAGATAAAGATAGTTTATATATGCAGGCAGAAACATATCATTAGTCTGTTTGCTACTGTCTTTACACTTTTGAAGTTGGGCATGATTCTGAAAGCTTAAGCTGTAATGAAAACCTTGGTCTGACATAAAATCCTCATTCCATTGAAGTTGCTTCCAGTTCTTTTTTTTTTGTTCCAATGGGACCAGAATTATGCTTGCAGCTGCTGCTGGCACTGACTGTGAGGTGAATGTCTTTCTTATTTATGCACCACTACTTCCCAGGAGAATCAGCCTTCGGGTTTGCTAATATTGGGGTTTTTTTACTAGCCCTGGCCTGTGCTGACAGTCTGGTGCAGTGGCTGGTTCAGCTTCTGGCCCAGTTTATCTTGAATTTGAGACACAAGGATAAGGAGTGCTGGGGAATAGGTGTGCTGGTTCCCACTCCGTGTCTGGTGCTGCTTTTGTTTCAGGAACTCTGACACAGAACGAGATGGTCTTCAAGAGACTGCACCTGGGGACGGTGGCGTACGGGCTGGACTCCATGGATGAAGTGCAGAGCCACATATTCAGCATATACACCCAGGTAGAACTGAACTGCATCAATTGACTCTTCATTCACAAAAGTTTTCCAGGTCACTGGGCTAATGATGAATTGTAATGGCAGGGACCTGTTACTGACTATTACTTTTTGGAAAAGTCTGAAGGTCGTTGGATGCTCAATGCATAAATAACATCATGATTGTTTGCTGCATCTGTAGGTAGTTACATGTCTGCAGTCTTTAAATGTCCCAGCACATGCAAGTGTAAGTGGGTGTATGTGCCTGGGTCTTGTTACTGAGGTCTGAGTGTAAAATAACAGACAATTATTTAGATATCTAGGCATCTTTCTTTCCCTTCTCTTAGCAGCTCTTTCTTCTCTCGGTGTTGAGACCCTTAAATGACTGAACTGCACTACCAAAAAAAAAATCCAGCAACCCCCTCCCAAAATCACAACCCACCAAACTTCAGTTCTGTTTGCCCTCAATGCTGTACTCAAGCTCTGGAGAAAACTTGACTACTAGTTAATTATTTGCCAAAATATTCAATATTTGTCAAGAACATTTGGGTGACTGACTAGTCCAGTGTGTGACTAGTGACTGAATGCACTTCAGCTGAGGGTTTGCTGTTTGGTTTTTGGCAGCAGTGCTGATGAGCAGCAATATTAAATTTGAGGATCTTGTATCCTAATCACTAGCGTGGAAAATAACACGTGGAATTACCGTGGCAAAGAACATGTCTCATAAAACTTGTATAATTACCAAATGAGATTCCTTATAATGAGGAGCATTTGCTGGCAATGATTCATTTTGAACTGTAGTTCTTATTCTTTACTCTTATTTTTACCATGTTGTGGCCTTTGACCTGGAAGTGAAACTTTTGTCCTCTTGACACTAAAGGTTAACAGAGCAGGAAACTGGATCACTGTGTGTCCCTTCTTCAACCAGGATAATTTAGTAATTGTGCAATTATCTGAAGACTCCCATTCTGATACTAAAAATAGTATTAAAAATTAAATGAATGTAATTAAGATTTTCTAGCTCCATACGAGTCATCTGTTTTCTGTTTTCACCAATTATATTCTCTTGAACATGAAACCCACGTGACTCTTAATTTTCCAAGCCACGCCGGGCTTTTGTGGAGCAAAAAGTGGTTTCACTGAGTCTTCTGACTTTGGTCCATCACCATGTGGTGCCTGGTGGATCTGCAACAAAAGTTTTTTTTCCGTGGTGTACTGTTCCAAAACCTTAGGTAAAAGTTTTGGGACATTTTGCTACACCAGTAACAACGATAAAGGAGCTGGATTGCCCTGGGGTGTTCCCAGTGATGGCCTGAGTTAAGATCTGTGATGAGTGTGTCTCACTTCTGGGGATGGACTGCACAGCTGCCTCATATGTGGTCTTCACTGAAGTAAAGACTTCATCTAATAAATTTCCCTCCCAGTAATCCTCCTTTCTTTGTTTATAAGCAATCCCAGGACCCCCCTGCAGTGAAGGGCCTCACCTTGGCCACGAAGGTGCGTAAGACGATGAGCAGCCGCGTGCACGAGGCGGTGAAGGCCATCGCCCTGTGCCACAACGTGACCCCCGTGTACGAGTCCAACGGGGTCACGGACCAGGCAGAGGCTGAGAGACACTACGAGGACTCCTGCAGGGTGTACCAGGCCTCCAGCCCTGATGAGGTCAGTACCCACTGGGGTGGATGAAAGTGTCAGTATGACCGTGCTTGTTGCTGGGAAAAAAGCACAGTTACTTGGAGGAAGCCCTCCAGTTTGGTGAAGGGGATAATATTTCAATGTGTTTATTGCTCTGATAACCCATGAATTGACCATAAGTGCCCTCTCAGCTGTTCTGCCTCTTTGCCTGAAGCTACAGATCCACATGGTGACTGGGATCTGTTGTAGCATTGCAGAATTTTTGCTCCTGTAGCTTTTGTCCAGGGTGTATTTTGCACTTCAACACCATGAGTCCCTTTGACCACGTTTGGTGAATTATGAGCAGTCTTATCTTCTTTGGGGAGAAAACTTGTGGAAGGGGGTTAGAATACTCACACAGTTCAGCTTGTCCCTGCTCTGTGAGGTGTTTGAACTTCCAGACCAAGGGAAAAGTTGTAAATCACACCGGACAGCCCTGCTGACCCAGGACACCTCCCTTCCCATGCAGATGGACAGGCCCAGTGCTCAAGAGTGAAGTGTGCAAGTTTGTTTTGGAGCAAAGCTGTACCCTGCCAGATCTCTGCCAGCCCCCAGCACAGCCAGGGCTATGCAGGGTGGTACAGGAGGGAGAAACTTTGCAGCTCTCCAGACCCTCACTGGGAACTTTAACTGAACATTTGGGAGATCAGTTTCAATACAGGACCTACAATTTAAGTGTTGTTTGCAACCCTCTGCAAAATTTGGAAAATTGAATTGCAATGTTGTTTCCTTCTGTGACAAAGACAGGAGGAATAAAATACATTTTTGCGTATTGGTTACACTTCTTGGATACATCTTTTAGTGCAACCAAGATTAATGATTTTGCTTTCTGTTAATTTGTACAACTACACTTTCTCTGTGCTATGGAAAGAGACTGAAGTTTTAAACTTCCCCTGAGAATCCCACTGATGCCATGAGAACATGTCACCCCTCTGACTACATTTGAAGGGCTTTTCCACTTATTGCCCCAAATAAACCAGGTTTGCCTCTGATAATAACCTTTTCACCTCTGACATCAGAAGAGAAGCTGGCTCTCCTCATTGTTAGAGGTGAGAAATGCTTTGCATGGAAATACATTTATTTGTTAAAAGCCCAGCTGTGTGATGATTTTGGGATTGTATGAACTACTGAAAGACTGGCACACAGACTTAGTTTATACATTTCATATACATTCAATCTGTTCCCTATAGTGTTTTTCTTCCAAAGTAAGGGAATCCATTCGTTTCATATATTGTGCTTTTCTCTGCACTGTACAAAAGCTGCACCTCTGCTCTTTCCCCCTCCTCCATTGACGTGCCCACAGTGCCAACCAGCATTTCCTCCTCCCTGAGCAGGGTGTGGGTGTCCTCTCGTCCTCTCCCATGCACAGTCTAGGGCAGGGGTTTGTTTACCTGCTTTTCTTCTCTGTAATGTCTTGCTCTCCCCTGTAAAAGCAGCTTACAGAAAGCAACTGCCTTTGGATTCAAATGAGTTCTGAATGATTTCCAGATGGTAATTTTTGTGATCTGCATTTAAGTTGGGGGTTTTTCCCCCTAAAGCATTTACTGGCTATTTTTGCACAGATTTTCTGTTTGTTTACATATATACTGTGGTATATGGTGAAGTCAGTGATTTTTCTTTTCCTTTTTCTCCTTGCACTGCTCTGTCTTTAAAATATTTATGCAGCAATTTGTCTGAAATGCCCAGGGGATATTGTTTGTTTGTTTTACTATAGCATGATAACTAATCCTTCCAAGATTATTGTTTAAATTCTTTTTTTCCTTTCTTGTGATATCTTAAGTAGAGAATTACAGCGGGTTCAGAAATCAGATATGCTTTGCTGCACTGAGGAAATATTGTCTGTAGGTCTTAGATATACAAATATTGTTTAGCCATGCTCTGTATGTCATACTAGATGGTACAAAACACAGGATCAACACAAGTGGAGTCCTCGAGTAGGGAGCAATGCTGTTAAATAACATTCCCTGTGGGGGAATGGCTTTGGACTCCTGTTAAAGCCAGCCTTTGAAATCCTATATCAATAAAATATTGCCATGGCAGGGAAGGTCAGTTTATGAAATGAGTACAAAAACTTGTATTCTCTTTACTTTAACAGCAAGGGTAATTTCTACCAGTTGGCACAGGATTCATTTCCTGTAACAGAAAGCAGGATTTCCTAAATTTGTTTCCTGTGCACGCTGCCATTTAGAAGTCTTGAAGTATCTTTATTCAGATATCGGTTACAGCCTTGGGGCTCTGCGAGCCAGTTGTCAGTTGTGGCCATACAGTAACTAACAGGGGAAATGAAATAGATATAATCTGATCAGAGATAAGAGTGCCTGGGATTCCTGGGCAAACAGTCTTTAACCCTGACAACCCTCCACAGCTGCCAGGACATGAAAGGGTGCACGGATCAATTGGTCTCTGCCTGCTGTCTGCCTGCCCAGGCAGCCCTAAATGGGGCTCTGCAGAGCAACTCATGGCACGCAAGGATCAATTTGTCTCTTTAGAATGAAATTTATTAGTCGATATCCACTTCAGTGGTGGCTTGGGTAATTTAATTGGCAGAAAGAGCAAAGTTTGGGGATGGTGTCCTGAGCTGCTGGAGCTGCTCGGCTTTGTAATACTCAGATCAGGATCAGGCTTGGCCTGGATGGAGCTGGAAAATCCTGGCGTGTGGTCACTTTGTTGATTTCCCTCCTCAGTGAGCATGTTTGGTGGAGGTGTTTGAGGGACTTCAAGCCTCTTTTAAATCTCACTCTAAGCTGTAAATGTATTTTTGCATGTTGAATGTTTCTCATCTTTTCATTGTGGCTGAGAGCACCTCTAGTTATCTGTTTGTACAACACAGAATAAACCTCCTCTGTCTCACATGGAGCCAGGACGTGCTCCCTGTCCCAGGTGCCCGGATCCTGCCAGAAGAGCCGTCGGTTCTTCCGTTGCCATTGTTCTTTCCACTGGTGCCACTGCACTTCCCAAAGGCCAGGCCCATTGTATTCCCTGTTGAGTGGAGACAGTAATGTCAGTGCTTTTAGTACATCTGATGGGAACACTTCAGAATTACATCGCTGTCTCTCTCAGTAGTTATTCATTAAGTACTGTAGAGGCTGGGAAGTGGCACGTTCATGGAGTCAACCTCCGGCCCCTGTGGTTCACCTGGAGGTGAGACAGGACCCACACCTGCTCAGGAGCAGCATGGAGAAGGGGAATTTCTTTTCTTATTCTTCCCCTTCCATTGAGGTACCATTTCAGGGCAATGCCCAGTTCCTGGTGCTCTGCAGTCAATCAGTTTGAAGTGTGCCCTGTGCATGATGTAGCACCTCATCCATTTGTTCCTCTGCACAAGGCTTTTCTTTCTGGAGGTTTAAAGCTTCCTGATGTAGGATTTAAATGAGATGCTGGCAGGGAAGGAGGGAGAAGGTGTCTGTAAAAAGGAGATGCTGAGCTGGGAGCAGAGATTTGTGTCTCCAGGCATTTGCAGCTTACCAACATGGACAAATCAACAGCCAGTGCTGCTCAGGCTGAACATCACATAACATTGTGTTGTGAGCAATTCTCAGTAATTATTTATTAACCAAAGTATTAGAAACCTAAGCTCCATTTCTGCTCTGGGAGACTGTTAGGAGGATTATCTAACTGCACACTTTAATGCAGTGAGGATGGCTTGAAGAAACTTTTTCAAAGATAAGGTTGAAAGAGCCTTTGATTTGTAATCTTTGAGTAAGCCTGCAAAAACTTGCTAATATTAAACCAAATATTGATTCAAATTGACTTAAAGGTCTTTCAAGGCAAAGTCAACTCAACCATTTTTGGAGTTTTATTTTAATCTGGCAATTTAAGACTACTTTATGAAAGCAAAAGTTTAAGTTTTCTTTTATGCCTAATTTTGGATGAAAGAGATCTGAGTTCACAAAAGATTCTCCAGTTAGACCCAACTGGGTCAATTCTTATAATAAAATGTAGACCCAATACAAGTATTTACAGGTTCCATTTTTATTAGTATCTCATGTTTATGATTTCCCAAAATAAATTTCATTTTTGTCTAAGGCATTTGTGGTCACTTAAAGGCAGGACCTGAAAGACATAAGGTGTAGTTAACCTTCAAATCAGCAGCAACCATGTTCCCAGTGCTCTCCTGCCTTTGAAAATGTCACTGTAAAACACTCCCAGTATTACATGTCTGTTTGGAGAAAGTATCCCTTGATCCTTTCTGGAGGCCAGTGATGTATGGGCTCGTGTCAGCTGCTGCTCCCATCTGTTACTGCCCAGACAGCTTCTAGAGTTAAGTCTCAGCAAGCTCAGTCTTAGATGGATGTGTCAGCTGAGGTGGGGATTCTGGGAGGATTGTCAGGGAAGCAAAATAAAGGCTTTGGTCTTCTGTCCTGACTCAGCTGCAGTCTAGTGAAAGCTAGTAAAGAATTCAGTGCTGTAGGTCCTTAAATACTGGAAGCTGCAATCAAAATTATACCCACCTAAATTCAGTTAAATGAGTTCTGGTGTGTGCCTTGAAAAATCTGGGGTTGATTTAGGTTTGGTTTTGTTTTGTGTTTCAGGTTTTTTAATGTTTAGGGAGAAGGGCTCTCTGCTAAGAAGTGTCTGAGCCTGCCTTCAGCTGCCTTGCTGATCACTACAGAGCCTGAAAGCTGTTGATGAACTGTTACTACTGAACAGATAGATAGTAACAGAGCTCATTTTGTTTGTTTGCTTTTTTAATATGAATTATTAATGGAATGCATTAGTGCTTCTGGCTTTGATATTTTAAATCCAGGGTGAATTCCTTGGTTTGAATTCCTGATTTCATAAACAGCCAGCTGGGACATAGCACTTTCAAAAAGCAAGTGTTTGTAAAGGGATTTACCTGATGTGCCCAAGGAGGTTTGGGCACCACAGGGCTGGGCAGAGGGTCCCTGTGCCTGCCCTTGTTCATTTGGAACAGAATCCCCAAATCATTTAGGTTGGACAAGACCTCCCAGACCATCAAGTCCATGTGCCCGATCCCCACCTTGTCCCCCAGCCCAGAGCACTGAGTGCTATGTCCAGTCCTTCCTCGGACACCTCCAGGGATGGGGACTCCACCACCTCCCTGGGCAGCCCCTTCCAATGCCTGACCACCTTTTCCATGAAGAAATTCGTCCTGATGTCCAATTAAAGGGTGATCACCTCCTGCTGAGGGTCTAGGACAGCCTGGCAGCTGAACCAGACAGGAGCTGGGCTGCCCAAACCACAAAAACACTGTTAGTAAGCTTCTAAATCAAGGAAAACACACTAGGAAGAGCCATAGAGGAGCACCTGTGTTTATCAGCAGATCTGTTTGATAGCACCATTAATGACTAATGAATTCTCTGCAGCCCCCCAGTATCCCTTCCCCTCATGGTGGGCTCTGGCCGCCCTCACCGTGTCCTTCTCCTCTCAGGTGGCCCTGGTACAGTGGACTGAGAGCGTGGGCTTGACGCTGGTGGGCAGAGACCAGTCCTCCGTGCAGCTGAGGACCCCGGGCGGCCACATCCTGAACTTCACCATCCTCCAGATCTTCCCCTTCACCTACGAGAGCAAGCGCATGGGCATCATCGTCCGGGTGAGCGGCGCCGGGAGCTCCGTGCCCTGTGGGATCTCCTGTAAATCACAGAATCACAGGATGGGGCAGGCTGGGAGGGACCACGGTGGGGGCATCTGGTCCAACCTTCCTGCTCAAACAGGGCCATCCCAGAGAAAATGCCGTGGGAATGTGTTTAGATGGTTTGGGAATATTTCCAGTGAGGGAAGCTCCACGCTCTCACTGGGAAAAACGTGAAGTGGAACACATCAAACATCTATGCCCATGCCACAGTCGTGCTGGCGGAGCTGAGAGGGTTGTGGGATGGACTGGGGCTGGGAGTGGACCCAGGTCACAAGTGCCTTCCCCCCTCAGGGTCAGCCAAGAGCCAAGCAGGATCACGGGTCCAGCTTACACTGCATCTCCAGAGCATTGTGGGGTACAACAAGGAATGATGGAGAAGGCAGCAGGTGGGAAGGAGGAAGGGAATTCTGGACTGATGCCACAACAGTTATAAGATATTACTAGTGGGTTTGTGAATCTGCTCCCCAGATCTCTGCCAGGCATCAAAAGTGCTCTCAGAGCCTGTGGAAGTGCAGCACCACGGGAGGAAGCACTTGGAGCTGCAGGGAGCTGTGGAGATGATTTTTGGTGTGAGGTGTTGGACAGAGCCCACAGCCAGGCTGAGCACACAGTGTCACGAGCAGGGCTTGGAAATAGCTGAGTTGAGGTGAAAGGGAACATTTATGCAAGTACCTCGCTCAGCAGCAGGCACTGCACACGCTGAATATGTGCCCAGCTGAAACCATACACATGACTGTGGGTTTAGATAAAATACAGTATAAGATCAGAGCCTCAGGAAAAAAAAACTACCTGAAAAAGAAAGAAAAACAACAAAGTGTGGGTGTTTAAAAGAGCTGTCACCATTATGATTGTTAGTTTTCAAGATTGACTCTCTAGCACTAGGTTAGTAAGATAAATCCAGCTGTGGTAAGGCACTGCTGTTTGCCTGTGGAGCAAACAAGGTGAAGCAATCTGAATATTTCTTTTGGAGATAATTAAAACATCCTTGTTTGTTTTTTCTTTTTACTGAGAGTACAGACAGATAATTGGTACCAGGAATCTAAAACATGAATATGAAACCTATAATCCAGGGCAAGACTGGATTTTTTTGTATCACACCGTGGGCTCTGCAGCTTTGTTATTTAGGGTGGGGAGAATAGGTAAGATTAGTGTGTGGGGGTTATTTTACTTTTTCTCTCCTCTGTTCACTTTGCAGTAAAACTGGGTTACACTGTGTTTATTTGGAATATCTGGAAACAGATTGTAAAAATTTCCTCTGCCCGAAATTTTCTTATCTCAGTGGAAGACAATCCTCTTTTTTGCCTTTTTGATTTGAAGCTTATTCCTTTTAAATTGTCTATTGTCTACCTTCTCCTCCATTAGGAAGAAATTCTCCAGTTTGTATTCCTGTATTTAGGGTATTTCTGCTGGCAAAACCAGCAAAACTCCCACTTGTGGTCAGTGGGAGCAACATCAGGCCCAGATCCTGACTGTAAATACTTTTAAAGAAGCATTAGTCCCTCTCTGTTGTGTTAATTGAGTGTCTTTATTTTGTAGCCATTCAGCTGCTCTAAGCCACTAAAATCAGCTCCCTCTCTACCCTGTGCAGAGTTAGGTTTGAGTAGCAGATGCTGCCTGCCTGGATATTACTTTGCCATGTTCCTGTATATTCCAAAATAACATTTTCAATCAAGGTTTTTATTTTCATTAAAAAAAAAAAAAGTTTATAAATAGTTATCAAGTAAAATTTACTTTGTTTAAACATATATGTGTTCATGTTTAGGTGCTCATTTGGTTTTGATACACAACTTTCAAGATGTTTACCTCTTCAGTGTATCTTCTAAAACTCTGCTGCTTATTTGAAAAAAAAACAAAAATAAGGGGAGGGAAAGTAGCTGAAGTATCCAGAAGAAAAAGCACAGAGTGATGAGGCAGGAAGGGAAATGAAGCTGCACTCACCACTGTAGTGAGTAGAATCCAAATGGTAAAGTTTTCTGCTCAGCTATGCAAGTATTGCCCATTCTTATAAACTGCTATTTTTTTGGCTGTTGGGAGCCCTGTGATGATGTTGCCAGGCTTCCTGTACACCCTGGGGATGGAGTTTCAGCAAGTGATTCCTGTGCCCGGCCCAGCAATGCTGTTCCTGCAGTCCCTGGCAGGCACTCATCTCCCCTGTGCATCCTGTCTACTCTGGCTCCTATGGAAAGATCCCCTTCAATGTATAGCTTTTAGTAAATAGAATAATAGTTAATATTGAAAGCAAGTAGCAGATGTTGCCTGGTTTGGGGTATTTATTCAGTATCTACTTGTTTCCTTGTGATCAACTGTTATTTCTGTACCTGATTATTTCAGTTCTAAGAAGCCCTGTTTAACTCAAGCAGCCTCTTCACCATTCTGTGCACTGACTTATCTTCCTCTTTGAAGAAGGCCTGTTTGTTTGACCACAATATTTTCCATTCTTCTTTTTCTTTGCCTTTTTTTTTTCCCCTTGCCCCTGTGGAATGATCTTTGTTGTACAGCAAAGATAGTGCTATTGTCATATCTGGAATTGAAAGAAGCCTTTGAACCGTGGCCAGAGTCAGACCACGGTGGAAAAAGATGCTTCTCCAAAACAATATAACTGGCAAATCTCTGTGTAGATTTATAGTGTGATCTTGCCATAATATGAGAACGCACTAACCTCCTACTGAACTCGGGGAGAGGAAATGACTAATGCAAGGAGATAGCTGATACAGTATTTATATTGGACAAAAAATCTAAACTATCTTAAGCCAGCTCTGCAGCACGGGAAGTGGAGTCTTTATTCAGTTTCCTACAGAGATGTTGTTAGGCGCTCTTTAATCAAATAATTTCAAAGATAAACCTTTACCTTTGGCTACTGCCAAAAGCGTTGTGTTTTATTTAAGCAGATTCTACTTGTTTTGGTAGAGTGACACATTTTCCTCTGGGGATGTGGGATGTGTGTCTGTTGGTATATGAAGGCTGGATGTTTCAGGACATTGAAAACCATGGTTAGGATTAATTATAAGAATCTTCCTTGTGAGTATCTCTGCGAGCTTGGCAAAAATGGTCAGTAAAGAAGCTTCATTGTCTTTGGCTACTTCTTAATTTGCCCAGCAAAGATACTTCTTTTCTTTGCAGGTTTAGTATCCACATCAGGTACTGCTTATATTTTTTTCCCTATGGATGTAACCTCTATTTTGCCACAGGACATGAGGCTTTTACTTGCCGACTCAAAGTATTCATGTATGAGCACCTCCACCACTAGTTTCTGTAATAATGGAACAAACTGACCCATCTATTAGTGAGACAATGAAATGTCTACTATGCTTTCCTTTAATTTCTTTTTTTTTCTGAAGTACTTTTCCCCCTCATTCACAGCTGTCTATAGCAGACCTTTCTGGGCTTTTTTGGTGTTGCGTGTTCACTTTGTTTTCTTCCTATCCCTGGTGGCTATCTTGGTTTACAGAGCAGTTTGTTCCTTACTCATTGTTTTGTCTCCTTTGAGGAAATTGCCAACGCTTCCATTAGCTTGTAATACAAATGCCTGTGGTCTCCTTAGGTATCTGCCTGGTTAGAAGGGATTTTTTAATTTGTGGTAGTGTAAATATGCTTTGCTTGCAGCCTATAAATTGCTTGTATCAGATAAGACAGGCAGCAACCTGACCTTTCTGTGGCAAGCAGAAGCTTTAATTTTGCTTATTCCATGTAATGTAACAGAGGGCGTAAATTAGAGTGATTTTTACTCTGTTAAGCTTCACGCATCTGTTTTATTGTTTCAGGTGAGCATGAAATTCATTTTCAAGGTGAGGGCTAGAGGTTATTCTGAGGGCACACACAGTCAGGACTGAGAGGTGTCTGTGTGGAGATGCCGTGTGGCTGATTAAAAAGCTGATCCTCCTTGTCTAAATGTTAATTCCTTCTGCAAGTAACTGAGTTGGAATTGAATAAGCATCTCCTTTTAACCCCTAGACAAGATGCTGAGCCAGGTGGACCTTCAGCCTGACCCAGTACAGACATTTCCATGACTGTTGTGCTGAGAACTCATAATTAACTTGCTGAGGCCCCTCCAAATCTGCTAATACTGGCCCAGCTTAGACTGTTCTGTTTCTCATCTGCAGGATGAATCTACAGGAGAGATCACCTTCTATATGAAGGGGGCGGATGTGGTGATGGCTGGAATTGTGCAGTACAACGACTGGCTGGAAGAGGAGGTACAGGGCTGTCCCTCCTGTGCTCAGGGGGTTCCTCACATGGGGGCTTTTCTCCTTCCAGGAAAACACCTGACAAGGCTTGTCAGTGTGGCAGGGGGGACCTCACTGCTAAAATACCTGTAAGCCAGAAGGTCACTGATCTTGGCAATTCATTGTATTAATCTTCAACCAAATGTATATGTAATAACAAGGAAGTCAGGTGGCAAGTTCAGCATATTTAATGCAGAATAAGTCCTGTAAATAAAATGGGTTTCACTCAAAAACTGATTGACACTCACCAAATTTTTCTTGGGCTTGATTCTGTGTTTGGATCTATTTTAGACTGAAAGGTCTAATTTCAAAACTACGTTTGGCATCTTGGTACTGGGACATGTTTGTTGGGTTAGTAGTAATGGTGGCACAGAGTTCATAGAATCTCAGAATGGTTTGGGTTGGAAGAGACCTTAAAGCCCATGTCATTCCAACCCCCTGCCATGGGCAGGGACCACTAGACCAGGTTCCTCCAAAGCCCATCTAATATGACCATGAACACCTCCAGGGATAGGGCATCCTAACCATAACTTCAATTGCTGATTTTCTGGTGTTCACAGAAATAATAACAACTTGGTCTTATTTTAAAAGAGTAGATGGCCAAAGATGTGAAGTCTAGAAATCACAGGCTTTTGTCCTTTTGCTTAAGAGACAGAGACAATTAAATCAATGGGATTGTTTTTGCCACCCTGGCATAGCAGAGAGGACATTTTTCTTTCTGATCACTGGCACAGGTTACAAACCATTGCCAGTCTCCTTTTTCTTCTCGGGTTTATCATGCACTTTATCAGACGTTATAGACTCACTGGGGTTGCTCAAATGGGGTGGTTATTTTCTTAACCTGCTATCTTACACTGCCATCTCCACACTGCTGTGCATAAATCATCTTACTGGAGATGGAGTTTCTGGTTTACAATGTGATCCTTCTTTCCAGTGTGGTAACATGGCTCGGGAAGGCCTGAGGGTTCTTGTCGTAGCCAAGAAGTCTCTGACAGAAGAGCAGTATCAGGACTTTGAAGTAAGTTTTTATTTGTTTTTTTTTTTTTCCCTGTGTTTTTAAACAATCACTGAAGTGATTCTCCCAGAGCACTCCTGATAATGCTGCCTCTCATCTCCCTCCTGCTTCTGCTAGAATTGTCATTCGTCAATGTCTTGATGTTCTTTTAATCAAAGTTGCTTTTTAAGTGATACGTATGAAACCTGGATCCCAGCCAGGACCCTCCAAAGCTGTTCCTGAATCCTGCCTTATAATCTCTTGTAGTTATAAATTCTGCAAATGTTAATAATTTGTTAGACAAGTTGTGTTTGTGTTGGGAAATGTGTTGGCTTTTAATTTCCATTTTTGTATTCTGACATCCAGGGGAACTACAGACAGCCTGAATAAAACCCATTCAGGCTTCATGGAAACACAGGCTTCATGCGTGGGGGTTGTTAGATGGGTCTCTACACACAGCACTTGACTTGCTTACCCCAGGCAGGAGAATGTAAAGGACAAGCTGGTTATTTAAATGCAGAGATGTGATAATGGAAATGCTTAGGATTCTCTGTTGCCATCATTTGTAGATGTGTTAGGTAAAGAACCTTGGTTAGACCTGTGGGGTGAGGGAGTTGCTTCCAGGCTTTCTGCAGGTGCCACTCCAGCAGCTGCTGTGCCTTTGTGTGATCAAGGCCACGCTGTGCACCTGAAAGAGCACAGGGACAAAATGGCAACAGCTCCCTGAAGTATTTCTCACCTTATCCTGTAACACACACCTCGTGTTCACCAGCACTCACAGGTGGCATCTCTGCATCACAGAATGGCCTGGGTTGGAAGAGACCTTAAAGACCATCTCGTCCCAACCCCTGCCATGGGCAGGAACACCTCTCCCTAGACCAGGCTGAATGCCTGTTGTCAGAGGGAGGTTCAGTGGTTGACCCTCATGCTGGTTAGCCCAGTTTGCCACAGAAGCAGGGGCTGACTGTGCTGTGCCTGCTCTGCCCTCAGGCCAGGTACATCCAGGCAAAGCTGAGCGTGCACGACCGATCCCTGAAGGTGGCCACGGTCATCGAGAGCCTGGAGATGGAGATGGAGCTGCTGTGTCTCACCGGGGTGGAGGATCAGCTGCAGGCCGATGTCAGACCCACGCTGGAGACGCTGAGAAATGCTGGCATTAAGGTCTGCCTAACCCACTGTTCTTCCTAGCAGGAATGCTTAGACCCTCTGGAGGACATGGCACTGTCCTGCAGATGGTAAATAATGGTAGTCTGGGGGCCCTGTCAAGGTAAACACTTCACCAGATGACCTTTGTGATGGGGCTGGGTGATGTGTTTTAAACATCGCTTTTGGGAACAGAACATAGCTGGGAAGTAGTAAATGTTGCCTGAACACATGAAAGCATGTCACCTCCCGTGCTTTTCTTTCCCTAACATGCTCTGGCTCCTCCTGCACAGACAGAGAGTGTGAGGGCAGGAGGGTGGGGAACTACAGGAGATTTTTGGGCACTTCCTTCTTTCAGGTAGTTGCATGAATCAAGGCAGGTTTGGATGTGTTTGGTCTGTGGTGCTGGGCTTGGAGCTGTGAATATCCACATTTTCAATAGCCACTAGAGGGGAGTCTGAACCAAGAGAATCAGAGACTGTTTTTTTTTTTTCCCCCAGCTCTCTGGGCTCTGGCTTCTCATACTCAGACACCTAGAGCCTGAGCTATGCTCAGTGGTGGGGGAGCTGCTGTGGTGCCTACTTAGTTTCTCTCTCTGAAAACTTATCACTCAGATCCCAGACTACAAAAGGGGAAAAAAAAGGATTAAATGTTCAGATTTGGGCAATAAAAGTAGGGTCTGGTTGGGGTTTCTCTGCTTTAAGTAGCAAAGTGAGCAAAAATCTTGAGCCATGCTGTGAATCGAAAGCAGGGCTGCGTGTTTGGGATTTAGGTAGGAAGTGGAATTCAAGGCTTGGGACAGACTTCCAAAAGTGCTTTCTGTTTGGAGCCATCCCTGTAAACAGCAGGGACTTCAGCAGAGAAGTGAGACCAGAGGAATCAGACAGAGCTCCTTAGTGGCGTTGTGGGTTTATCCCCCCACAGTGTAGTCCTGACCCGTCACACCAAAGTGTTTTCCTTTTCTCTCCTCACTGTGGCTGTTGGGGTGTGGAACATGTGTCATCACACCCTGAGCACAGCACTGCTGAGCACTCCTTGCACTGGAATGTTCATCAGGGCATTGCATGCAAGAAATAAATCAAGAGTGAGGGGGGTCTTGCAATTCATGGCAGGGACCATCTTGTTAAGATCAGATCTCTTTCCAACCTCAGATTATAATAAGCAAGTCTTTATGTGTGTTTTTTTATTTTGTTTGGTTTTTTTCTTGAAGTTTTTTACTCGTTAAATATTCTTAGGCAGTGTCTTGAAAGGTTAAAAACCAGTTGAAAAAACCCAAAACAAACTGATATATTTATACCACTGAAGGAATTCCCAGTCAGATTATAACACGGTATTACTGCTGACATTGCATTCTAATTCCCCCCCTTCACCAGCACAAAATAAAAGGAGCAGTGTATATTTTAAAAAAAAAAAAAAAAAACAAAAAACCAACCAAAAAAACCCAACACCAAACCTAAAAAAATCCCAAACCTCAAGTAACTTAGTGTGTTCCAGCCATACACATCAGCAGTGAGCTAATCCCAGTTGCATCATCCGCATTTCAGGCAGGGCCAGGAAGGATCTTTCTGCAGCAGGGCCCGCTCGAAAAATGGCTGGGGAGGGACACATTAACACACACATACACATTTTTTAGCTTGTATTTTGTGGGTTTATCAGCAGAATCTTGAAATATTGCACATGGGAAAAATGTTATACATAGTTTGTAACTTCCTTTGTGGTTCAGCGTCTTTAAAAGCTTTGCTTTCTTTCATGTGTGAGAATTTTCTTGTGTGTTTCAAGATAGGGTTTTTTTTAGGAGAATAATTTGTATGTGTATTTTAACAGTCCTTTCATATGCCTGAACTGGCAGGCAATGCTTGTAGATCAAGCATCCTGTGGACGTGGTCGTTCAGTTTGTATCTAATGCATTAAATATTCGGGTTTTAGGTGTGGATGCTGACAGGGGATAAGTTAGAGACAGCCACGTGTACAGCCAAGAACGCACATTTGGTGACACGGACACAGGACATCCATATATTCAGACTAGTGAGTAACACCCATGTACCCCTCTTAAAAGGCTCGTTTGGGGCCCAAATTCGGGACGGGAGGAGTGCTGAGATCACAACTGTTTTCCAGCAGGATATTTTTATTCCTTTGACCCAGCTTTCTATCCCCTGAGTTTTTGTTTCTCTGACAGTGTGCTCTGACTCCCTCAGTGTGCTGCCTGTCCTGTCCATGTTACTTTTGCTCCCTCCGAGACTTTTTGGGGTTTTTTCACCCCGATGAGGCAAACCTTCCCCCAGTTCCCATCCTTTTCCCCAGGTGACCAACCGTGGGGAAGCCCACCTGGAGCTGAACGCCTTCCGCAGGAAACACGACTGCGCCCTCGTGATCTCAGGGGACTCCCTGGAGGTAGGCTTTGAACCAGGAACAGCCCCAGAGCTCTGTGGCTGGAGGAAACCTTCCTGCACAGCCGTCAGTGATGCCTCTGGTCTCTAAATTAGGTGTGTCTGAAGTACTACGAGTACGAGTTCATGGAGCTGGCGTGCCAGTGCCCCGCCGTCGTGTGCTGCCGCTGCGCCCCGACACAGAAAGCCCAGATCGTGCGGCTGCTCCAGGAGAGGACTGGAAAACTCACCTGTGCAGTAGGTAAGGGACTGGATAGGGAACACTGACCGTGTAGGATGGCACCTGCTATTTCTTGGTGCAGCCTCACCTTGAATATTGTGGCAGTTTTGGGCACCGCAGTGTAAGGAAGGTCTGAAGCCGTTAGAGAGGGTCCAAAGGAGGGCAACAAAGATGGGGAATGGCCTTGAAGCCTTATGAGGAACAGCTGAGGGCACGTGGTGTGTTCAGCTGGAGAAGAGGAGACTGAAGGGAGACTTCACTGCAGTTAAAACTTCCTCATGAAGGGGTAGGCACTGATCTCTGCTCTCTGGGGACCAGGGACAGGACCCAGGGAATGGCCTGGAGTTGTCAGGGGAGATTTAGGGTAGATATTAGAAAAAGGTTCTTCTCCCAGAGCGTGGTTGGACACTGAACAGGCTGCCCAGGGCAGCGGGCACAGCACCAAGGCTGCCAGAGCTCAAGAAGTGTTTGGCTGATGCTCTGGGGCACATGGTGTGACTATTGGGGATGGTCCTGTGCAGGGCTGAGGGATCATGAAGGGGATCACTGGACTCGATGATCATTGTGGGTCCCTTCCAACTCAGCATGTTCTGTGATTCTTCTGAGTGAACGGTCCCATGTCATCTCATAACACCTGGAAATGCTGGTTTGGGGAGCAGTGTTTTTGTGGGATGATTGTGAAGATGAAATTTTTCATGTGGAAACTACAATGACCAACTACTCATGAATGTTTCTTGTGCTATCTTTGTAAAACAGAGCTTGAACTTGATCAGGTAAAGTGCCACTGTTAATCTGTGAGCTTTATTTCGGCACTGTAGGTGTAATGGTACATCTACAAGTTAGATTAATTGATCAGTGACCTGTGGGTCTATTAAAACAAAACAATTAAGAACTAAAATTCCTGCTTGTGAATAGGGTTAATTGTGGATAGGGTTAAATGTTTCTTGTGATAATACAGTCTAATGCAGATGCCTTTGGTGGAATTGCAAGTTGCCCTTGTTGCTTAACTCCCAATGTTGTTTGTGCTCTGTCCTGCAGGTGATGGAGGGAATGATGTTAGCATGATTCAGGAGGCTGACTGTGGCGTTGGAGTTGAAGGAAAGGTGAGATTACCTCATGTTTAATAAGAATTCCTATGGCTGGTTTGGAAGTCACTCTTAAATGAATCCTCAGAAATCTGTGCAAGAAAGTCCCCAAGAATAATCATCAGAACAATAGCCTTACCATGAAAAAGAATTTGGCTGTAAAGGAGACTACTGTTTAAGGGAGTTCAAATTCATTATTTGGTTCTTGGCAGAATCCCTGCATTTGGACCATCGTGGGTTTTTAATCACGCATAGATATTCCAAATGCTGTAGTTATAATTACACTGATAACATATACCCTACATGTACAATTAAAACCTGTTTAGGATACAAACTCTGGGTTAGAACTCTGGTTCCTGCACGTGGAGCTGCCTGGAGCGACAGGACAGGATTTGGCGGCAGGGACAGACTCTGCAGTGAGCCAAAACATTCACACTGAGTGAACTTTTGAGAGTGAAAATTTGTGTTCAGAACTAACTTGATATGAGTGTCACGTTAACATACATGTTGTGAGTCATAATCCAGAGGGTTGCTTAGAACTGGAGGCCAAGGTTCAGATGGGAATTCTCATAGTTTTGCTTTTTGCTTAAAAACCACGGTGGAAGGCAGAATTACTGAGGTAATACTCTCCCTCACCTAATGCATTGCAAATATTCTTGGAAATTCTGTCAATAACTAAATAATAATACAGCATTGCTGTGTTTCCAGTGATGAAATGATCTCACTATGCTTTTGTTCTTGCTGTTGTTCACAGGAAGGAAAGCAGGCATCACTCGCAGCCGATTTCTCCATCACTCAGTTTAAACATCTGGGTCGTTTGCTGATGGTGCACGGAAGGAACAGCTACAAGAGGTCTGCAGCCCTCAGTCAGTTTGTGATCCACAGGAGCCTGTGCATCAGCACAATGCAGGTGAATGGACTGCCATGAGGGTTTTTCCAGGGAAGGGATGAAAAAAGCCAAATCTTAAAGTAAAGGTCCTGTGTGTTTTGTTTTGGATGCAATTATTTGTCCTGAAAATTTTCGTGGGCTGGAACTTAAGTTGTTAACTTTGGTATGAAAACACGTGAGAAAGTTCCTGGTGTTGGACAAATATCAGCAACTTCTCCAAAACTGGACAAACAGTATTCTACCTTAGAAAACACTGCTGTGTGCAGTTGTTTAGTAGTGCTTGGAAATGCTCAAAATCTGAAGCAGAGAAATGCCCTCAAGGCCTCTGCTGAGTAAGTGCACATGTTTTCCAGGTGTGTTTTAAGTTTGGTCTCTCACTATTTGAAGGCCTTAGTTTTGATTTGGAATTCACACCTGTGCAGAGCCTCACTGCAACAAAAATGTGATTGCCAGTTGGCAGGGAGAGTTGAAAGAGATTTTAAAGAGTTTATGAGCCAAATTCTGTTCTTAGCTGTGGTGACTCGAGTGAAAATTGCAGTTAAGGACAGAGGTTACTCTTTGGAAGGTGCTATTTCCACACCATGGTGCACTGATACATTCCTTAAAAATTCTAAGTATTTTTTTGAGTGAATTACTTGATATGTTGGAGGAGGCTGGTTCTGCCCTCTTCCCTTTTCAGGGTAAACATGTTGGAGAGGGATGCATAGAGACAAAAACTTCAAATTCAGAGGACAGTCTACCTTCTCTGCAGATAAAAAAAAGAACAGAGAACAAACCTGTAACTTCTGCCAAAAAGAAATAAAAATCTTGAACTCTTTGGAGTTTTGTATTAATGAGTGTTCACCCTTTTTTACATTGAGAAAACATCATCCAGGCATAAATAAGGATGCACCTGTCCTTCTCAGCATCTGGATGGCTTTGACTGAACCAGTGGGCTTTGGAAGAAACCCTTTCTGTTCCTTTCTGTGGAATTACATTACAAAAAGGTTTCCAGTCCAGCTCTCCAGTGTTTGCTGTTAAATATAACTTTCGTCCAAGGTTTGCTTAGGAATAAAAAGGGTTGGCATTACAGTAGTCTGTCTTCGTTTCAGGAATTTGGAGAACCCACTGCAAGCATGTGCCAGTTTGAACAGGGTGTATTTTTAAGCTGTTACTTTTACTGCAGTATCTTAGTGCCTAAAAAGCTCATTTCTTTTCTAGGCTGTTTTCTCATCAGTATTTTACTTTGCTTCGGTTCCTCTCTACCAAGGCTTCCTCATCATTGGGTAAGAGATCATTTTTTTAATAATAGTGAGGAAACCTGTGCTCACGGAGTAGATTTGGGCTAATTAACATCATCCCTCTTCACTCTGTGTTTCACTGCACCACTCCAGGAGATGGATGTGATTCTTGTCCCCTCTCTGCTCTGAGCAAAGGCAGTGCAGACACTTGTGGAAACCTTTCCAAAAGGTGATTTGTCACATTTGGAACATGTGAAAGCAACCCATTCTCCAGGAATTGTTCCTGGATCCCAGTAAAAAGCAGAGGGACAATTGTTATGGTCTGGTGCCTGCACAGCAGTGAGAGCCAGTGTCCAGCTCCTGACAGTGTCAGAAAGAGGGACAACCCAACCTCTTCAGCAGGAGGATACAGTTCCTGTCTAAAATATAGGGTTGCAGGTGTAATCCCAGTATGACTTTTTATACTTCTGAGTACTTAATTAAAAAAAAAAAAAAAAAAAAAGGCAAATTCATCGTATTTGGCTTCTGAGGCAAACAGAATCAAACCTGAACTGCAGAGCAGGCTTTGGGGTGAGGACAGGTCTGTCCTTGACTCCATTCATAACCCAGTAACACCAGTTGCACCACTTGAACCAATCACCTGTGTGTGAGTGTTCCTGATCTAAAGTCACTCAAAAAGCCAATCCTGCAGGTTTTACCTACATGCAAAAATGTGTTCCTTTTGCAAGTTTTTATAACGTGTGCATTATTTGGCACCTAAAGACTGGCATTTCTGTTTGCTCATCTACCCCTGAGATAGTTTACTTGTCTTCTACCTTCTTCCCAGGTACTCCACAATTTACACAATGTTTCCAGTGTTTTCTCTTGTCCTGGACAAGGATGTTAAATCTGAAGTTGCAATGTTGTACCCAGAGCTCTACAAAGATCTTCTTAAGGTGAGGGACACTCTTGTTTGTCTGTTTTGGCTTAAGGCAAGGTTCCCATCTTGATTTGAAACTCCCTAAATGTGTAAAGTCAAATATATTGTCAAGAGATCCAGAACTTTATTGGGCATTTTCAAGCAAGATTGTTCTAAAGGCAAATTTGAATTAACAGATAGCACCAGATTTCCTGGCAGATACTTATTGAATGCTGCATGAAATGCAATTTATTAAAAGCGGCTGGGGAAGTAGAAGTTCCATTCTGTGGGAAATTCTAAGGATTTAATATTACTAATTTGTTCCAAAATAAAGGGGAAAGAGAAATTGTCGGGGATTTGGAGCTATCCTGAAGGCAGAGAAGGGAATGAGGGGAAGGGATATCCTCATTTGATGAAGGAGGGAGGTAATCACAGAGGTTCCTCTATAGAAATTTACCTTGAGGATGATCTAAATGTACCTAAAGTTTTGCTTGCTGTGCCATTTTTGTAGCTTTAGAATCAAAGTCATGTCCTTCTCCTTAGACAAAGAAAACTTTATTTGATGTTTACCGTAGAAATATCAGGAAGGTAAATCTTGTCTTAGGTTCCTTTTTATTTTTTATTCTTCCTCCCTGGAAAATGTTCTGAATAACTGGGGTATGCAGCCTGGGAACATCTTTCTTAATTGAAGGAAAGGGTGGACTGAGTCTTCAACAGATCCTTTCCCTCAAGGATTTCTGTTAAACAGATACTCTCAGAAGCAAAGCCTGTTTTTCCAGCAGCCTCAATAAGTCTCCATCTGGTTTCACTTGTATGTTGTCTCTTATGTCATAAACCACTAATTCTTCAACCATCCTTAGGCCTGGTCTAAACATAGGGGTTTTTGTGCTGGTATAGCTGTGTTGGCTGGAGATGCTTTTTTAAAAACCTATCTGCCTTCAATATGATGGTGATTTGTGTGTGTCTAGAAAAATAATATTAATATATTCACATATACGTGTGTACACACATCTTATATTTTACAGTACAGGGACTAAACTCATGAGACATCTTTGCACTGAATTAATTGTGTGTGCAGTGAGGGTGAGGCTGTGCTGTGTGAGCAGTTGAGCTTCCATAGTCCCAGGCCTCCTTCGTGCACCCCCAAAAACGAGAATAAAGAGGGAGTGACTCTGGGTTGGTTGATTTGTTTTATTTAATTTTTTCCCCAAATCGTCTTCAAATTCTGTTTTATTAATTTCTGAGTTGATTTGTAAGTAAGTGACTGTTCATAAAAGAAAACCCCAATGGAGCTTTGTCTGTTTTCCCCCCCCCCAGGGACGACCGTTGTCATACAAAACGTTTTTAATATGGGTATTAATAAGCATCTATCAAGGTAAGAAATTAACTTCTGCTTGTGCCTTGACATATTTTAATGTGTCTGAATATCTAATTTTTTTATTGCAGGAAGATTTTTATTGGTAAGGCATGAAGTGATTTTCACAAAGTATCCTTGTGATAATGAATATGTACTTTTTTTCTTGTCTCAGAAAATGTCGGTAGTGTTACTAAAGGAAGAAATTATCTAAAATCTAATACTGGCAGCAACTTGTCAATCCTATTGTAGGCAGAGATATAGAAGTTCAAACCATCATTGGAACCACCATCCTTTGTAATTTTGTGCAAGTTCCTTTCAGTGCTGTAATTGTTCCAGCAGTAAAATAGAGCTTGTGGCTCTCCCCTTCTTTTGGAAAATCTCAAATCTGCAGATTTTGTCAGATCTGTAGATTTTGCAGGTTATTGACAACATGCAAAATACAGCATCTGTAGCTTCTGATTTTATCCAAAACCTGTTTAATGGAAGTGGCAATAGTTCTGGTTGCTTCACAACATCTATACTGAAGGGTTAGAGTAGAGGTCAGGTTCTTGATCATATCCCATACACTCTACTTAGGCTGCTAAAGCAGTTAAGTAAATGCCTGAATTACAGTGCATCCATTTTCCAAAAGTGAATGTAGTAATTGGGATATTTGTCTAAGAAGGTCGTTTATTTAATTTTGTGTTTGGTTTTTTTTTTTTGTGAAGTAACCTCAAACTCAAATACTTTCTAAAAGTGTCAATCAGGGAATTGTGGCAAACATGTCAATAACATGGAGCTAAAAGCTAAAATGGCAATATTTCTTGTTTTCCAAAACTCCTTTGTCAACAAGAGTCAAAACAATGCGTCAAAATAAGCAGATAATTCTTATGGATTTAATTGATATTTCCCATCCTCAGCAGGGAGTGAATCCAAGAATATAAAATCTCTGTTGGCTTTATTTTCTGAAATCTGTAACGGTGCAGTCTCACAACAGGGATCACGGTCTCCTGGTGCTGAATAACACAGTGGCAAAGCCAGGGCATTGATAGAACACTCACAAGTGGTGGACAGCTAAAGCCAGAGGGTGATGCATGGAGGGAAAGATTCCTCCTTGAGCTAAGACCACTATCTGGTTACAGCGTTTGGTTAAAGTGACTTCACTTGTGAAGTGCTCGATAACCAGAAAACAGCAGGCCAAACAATTGGGCTGGTTGCTAGCAGAGATGAGCCTGACCAAAAACTTGAGCAGTCCTAAATTTTGGAAAGTTCACAGCTGGATTTGAACTTTGTGGCTCGAGCTCTAGCCACTTGCAGGTTTTCCCTTCCCCGTGTGATGGATGTTGGTGTGGATTACTCATGCTGCTAAACATGAGTTATTTGTGCAGGTGGCCACGCAGGGCTGTGAGTGTTCCAGAATGGGAGCACGAACAATGCCTCATTAACAGAGCTTTCACGTGTGCTCCTTTTTGGGGGGGGGGAAGTGTAAAGGGGAGAGATCTTGGTCCAAGCAGTGCAAAGGGAGCCTCATTTGTATCCACTGAGCTTTTCAGCACCTTGTTTGCATCTTGGCACTGAAGCAGTGCAGTAGGTTTTAGAAGAATTTGATATATTTTAGCTTCTGAGTAGTGACCAACTGCTTTTCTGGGAGGATAGAGTTTCCTGATGTTAGAGATCTCCAGTTGCCAAAGCAGAGTGTATTAATTTCCTATCTACATGTGTCTATGAATATGAGAGACTGTCATAAAAGTTTGGGTTCCTCTGCTGTAACTTTTCCCTGTCTTCTCCTCAGTTCTTTCTCCTAAATAGTAACGATTTGTTGTCATTACATTCATCAGGTTTCATGAAAAACACTCTCAAGATATGATTATATTTCAGCTTTTCCAAGACCTAACGGGGTTGTAGAGCTTAGCCTGGTTTTTGACTCAAATCCCCAAATGTTCCCTTCCTTTGCAGGTAGCATCATCATGTATGGAGCACTGCTCCTCTTTGAATCCGAGTTTGTCCACATTGTTGCCATTTCCTTCACGTCCTTGATCCTCACCGAGTTACTGATGGTGGCCCTGACGATCCAGACGTGGCACTGGCTCATGATAGTGGCTGAGCTGCTCAGTCTCTCCTGCTACATTGCTTCCCTGGTCTTCTTACACGAGTTTATTGGTAAGCTTAAAGGCTTCCCTCCAATCGGTTCATGGTCTGGGGAGGAACAGGACTGTGAAGAGCTGAATTGAGCAACAGGCTGTTGATGGAGCCAACAAATAGGTACAATGACAGGGGTACTACAATAAGTTCTATGTGATTTGAAGGCACTTGGAAGACATTTCATGGTTCCTTCCCATAGCAAAATGCTAGAGGAGGTAAAGGTGGTCAGCAGACTGTGCTGCCCAGCAAATCTCACCCATACTTTGGGCTCTGCCACACATCAGTCTGTCTCATGTACCAGTGATCTTTATTTCCATTTGGGAACTGAACTTGAGGTTACAGGTTGAAGACTCTGCTGGTAGATTGAAAGATTTAGTCTTTTAAAGTGGGTGAAGAAGCTACCTCCTAAAATTTACCTTCTTTAATCTGTTCATTGGGGCCCTTCTCTTATGGGTTTGGTTGTTGATTTTTTAGTTTTCTGAAACAGAACTAATCCTTTTCCCTGGCTAGAGGAAAAAAGGTGAGGAATTCTAGATTCTCCCAGTAACTCTCTAGTTGCAAATATCAGACCCTCAGGGCTTGTTCCATTGTTCCTTCAGGAACCACAAGATGTCACTACTTCTTCCATAAAGCTCTTCCCTAACTCTGAAGGCAGCCAGCATAACTTCCCAGTGGGCTGGATTTGCCTCTCTTGGATTTGGTTATACCAGCTCCATTTTGAACAAGGCTTTGACTATTTTTGCAGAGATTCTGAGGTATTCTGAGTCAAGAGATGTGTTTGCTGGGCTGCCAGCCAAGTAGCAGAGGGCAGCTCCCAGCCAAGGAGTCCTTAGCACTGCCAGGAGATGGATGGGCCTGTTTCAGGTGGGGTATGTGAGGGCAGTTACCCCTGAGGAGTCACATCCCTTTCAGCCCTTTGCACCCTCTGCACTTTGTGTTTCTGCATCTTTTGTGAAAAACAAGGGCAGTAGAGTGAGGAACCAACCAGGTATTGTGTGAGCTTTGAACTTGAGTGTGGAGGTGAGGCATTTTTGAGAATTGTAAAATCAGAATGGCCTGGGTTGTAAGGGACTTTAAAGATTATCTAGTTCCAACCCTCTGCCATAGGCAGAAATAAGTGTTGGTAGATCCTTCTCTGCACGTCTTCCCACAATGAACTTCCCACCTTGGCTGACTTTGTGCTCTTTTCCTTACACAGATGTTTACTTCATTGCGACTTTGTCGTTCTTGTGGAAGGTCACCGTCATCACTCTGGTGAGCTGCCTTCCCCTCTACGTCCTCAAGTACCTGAGGCGAAGGTTTTCTCCCCCAAGCTACTCGAAGCTCACGTCCTAGGGCTGCTCTCCCTGCACACCAGAGACAGACATTGCCCATGGCTGAGAGACAAAACCCTGTAGTTGTTCCTATAACGAGCACATCCGATATTTGCATCTGGATCGTGTGGTGATCTCTGTTACCTGCTGCTTTATTGAAAAAGACTCCACAACTGCCGCCAACAGAAAGCTGACAATAAAAGGGAGTGTTCTGAGAGTGGAGGCACTTGTTAGTTCATCCAGTTCTTGTCACTTTTGTTCCACTTAGCTGGGGTCAAATGCATGTAACTGAGATGGCGATGGGTTTCTCTTGCATGGTTAAAAAGTCTGTGAAAGCTGCTACCTGACCTTGGGATTTACATTTGACAATTTTTAAGTGACTTTTTTTTAAAGTGTCTGTGCTGTTCTTTGCATTGTGTTATGTTGTTTTATATTGTTTGTCTTTTTCATTTAAGCAGTTACATTCTTCTTACATCTTGGAAATCCCTTAATGTAGGTGATGCACTGTACTGCTGACAGCTGATCCCTGATTTATGGCATGCTGTTTCCAGAACGGGGCTCCAGCATGTCGGATCTACACACACATGAGAATCTGAGCCTGGTTGAGATTTTCCTTCAGTTGAAATGTGGTCACCCCAGTGATTTTGGAGGTATCCAACCATTGATAAATGATAGTCCAAAATGAGGAAACTCAGTTCTGTTTAGCTTTTGTGCTTCCTGTTAAAAGGAGCTGGTGACATAATAGCTTTACTCTGTATTTATTTGTGTAGGAGAAAATTATCTAAACTAAAGCAAATCCTCTCTGGAACAGAAATTTGCAGTTGATCATACTTGAAATGTGTCGACAACGTGAAAAGAGACTCGTACTGTTCTGCAGACAATGTGGCAGACGTGTCTTGAATCCCTGGAGACTGAAAGGAGAGGTCACAGAGCTGCTACTCCTCACAGCTACACAAAATCTGTTTCCTGTTAGGGTGAAACTGTGAGGATGAGCTGCAAATAAGCTGAGGCACTTCTAGGTGGATGTTGTTAATGACACACTCCCTGCAGAGAGGCAGCTTTTGGAACCCTGCACTTGCTTTGCTCTGAAACTTGAATCACAGGAGTGGGTTCATGCAAAGGCGTTGGGCTCGTGTGCAGAGCAAATTCATGTATTTTTAATTTTCAAAAATTAAACTCAATGGGTTCTGGTGTTATGATTAACTTTGGCCCACATTATAATACCATGAGGAGAGCAACACATGCTCAGGCTTCTCAGGAGAAGGACAGAGGGTTACAAGAACCTTTTAGGGTTGTGTTTATGCATCAAACATGGATGAGCTTTTAGTGGCATCCATCCTCATCTAAAGGCTGTTTAGTCTGGGCTAAATTAGTTGCTTGCTGTCTTGTTCCCACATCATAAAAGCCATGGTTGGAGCTGGCACTGCTTGGCGCCGTTGGGAGTTGGCTGCATAGGAGAGGCAGAGCCCAGAGCTGAGCTCCCTTCTCCAATCTCAAGGCACAGCCCAGAGGTCTCACTTCTCCAGTCACAAGGAAACCCTTCCAGGTCAGGGCCACCGTGTTGCTGTGCCATGTTGAACCTCTTTAAAGGGCTGCCAGCTTCTGCTGCCATTGCTACAGGCATTCACTGTCTCAAGCTGCACAGTGCTGCATTAAAAGGTCTGATGTGAAAATTGGTGGAAAATGGGAATGTTGTTCTAAAAGAGTCTGTGTTGGCCCATTGTGGTGGTGTCTCGAATTTTCAGATCTAAGATAGCTGTGGCTTGTGTGGCTGACGTGTGGCAGTTGCTCCAGGGAATGTTTTGCACAACCTGAGCTGCCTTCCTTGCTCTTAGTTCCTGTGAATAAATATCAAAGGGGAGGGGAAGCAAGTTCCAGAAGTTTTAGAGAGAAATTGGATGTGCTTTGTAGTGCACGTGGCTTGGGTTGAGAGGAAAGTGCAAGTCTGTATGAGTTTGTTGTTTCATGTGGGGAAACCCTCTTGATTTAGAAAATTAGGTTTCAAAATCCTTCAGGAATAAGGACAGAGAACACTTTTAACTCACTGATTTTTCTTGTGTGCCAGTCTTCCAGTTAGGCTCTGGTCTGAAGTCCTTATAGATAGCAACTTCAGAAACACCCAGCTGGCCAAGGACAGCTAATTCTTGGTATTCACCTTCTCATAATATTTTGAAAATTTGCCTTTTTCCATCTCTTCTGATATTTTTCCCCTAAAAGTAGTAATAGTATACATTTCTACTTATTTGATTCTCAAGTTCATGTTGAGAAAAGCCCTGGAAGTCCAGTATTCCCAGTGATTTGTGTTGTGGAGGAAAAGCCTTTTGTGAATTATGTCACTTGCCAAAAAGATCCTTAACATTGTCTTTATCATGACATGCTACAGCTCCTGGGTAATGTCAGCCCTGCTGCTGTTCTGGAGTCCTCAGGCAGCATTTCATAGAATCACAAAATCACACAATGCTTTGGGCTGGGAGGGACCTTAAAGCTCATCCAGTTCCACCCCCTGCCATGGGCAGGGACACCTTCCACTAGCCCAGGTTGCTCCAAGCCCCGTCCAACCTGACCTTGGACACTTCCAGGGATGGGGCAGCCACAGCTTCTCTGGGCAACCTGTGCCAGGGCCTCCCCACCCTCACAGACAACAATTTCTTCCTAATATCCAGACAAATTTAAGTAGGTTTAAGTACAAGAACGAAGGATTTCTTTTGGCCTGATTTTGTGACTGAGCAGTCCAGTCCCTCTGGCTGTTGGTGAACACCCTCAGCACCCGTCCGTGTCGAGCCCAGTCCCTTCTCATGTGTGTTAGTGGTTAAATGTCCTGCAGCAACAACAGTGCCATGCTACTGTGTAAATATTTGAGATGTGTATATGGTAGAATTCACTGTTTCCTGAAGTCAATACAGTTTACACTGAGTGGACCATATTTGCAAACTATTAGCTCACACCAAGAAAGGGAGTGAACTGTGATTTCATTTATATTTATTGAATCATAACTTTAATAACACACATTTAGTGGAATTGATAATGATCCATAGCTGTATTTTGGGGTGCAGATTATGTTCCTTTGCAGCTAGTGTTTTTGCACAAGATTGTAAATCCAGGAAGTAATTGCTGTCTGGATACACACTGAATTTTTAAAAGCAATCAGAAAACTAAAACTGCCATCTAACAAACAGCAGGAAAGAGGAATGCTTCTATTTTTCAAGTTTAGCACTTTATGTTTGCAATCTATTTCTCTTAAGTTATTTAAAAAATGTTTTTAAAAGTAAAGTTTAATACGTATGTTCATATTTACTGTACATTGGAATAAATTGATTCTCTGCTGGAAATTTAATCTTTTCCTCTAGTAGGCTCATAATTTGTACTTTTTGGGAGTGAAGCATTGTTTTCTTCTGTATAGTATCTGTTCTGTAGCCTTAGTGTTCTTACTATTCCTTTATTTGTCTGGTTTATGTACTGTAGCAGTTCATATCTAACTTTTGTGCTTTGGGACTGTGCTCCAGGTGATGCTGTAGGGTTGGGTGTGTGTCTCACCATCTGCTCCTGCTTCCCACGGCTCCAGGTGATGCTGTAGGGTTGGGTGTGTGTCCCACCTTGTGCTCTGTGCTGAGCTGCTGTGGTGGTGAGTTAATGTGTAGGTTTTGTGACACAAACTGTTCTCTCCTTGCTTTTCTGCAATAATTCCACAGGTGTCACAACCCTCTTCATCCCTTTTTTTCCCCTTTGTCTCTGGATGTGTTTCCTCCATAGAGCTGGTCCTGTTCCTCTGTGCAGACATTCATTTCGCTCAGCTCATGGTGCAGTGGAAATGCAACGTTCTTTGTTCAACAGCAGCAGCTTAAATCTGTGCAGGCTCTTATCAGAACTGGGCTGAGGAGCGATGAGTGACATCCCTGGTGTCCCCTTGGGGTTGAGAACGGTGTGCTGAGAGCTATAGCTGTGGTGGGGCCAAACTGAGCAGCACCAAGAGTGTTTCTCTGTGGTCTCCTGAGCTCTCACAGTGAAACGCTGGGACAGCCTCTCTCGTCCTCTGTAGCTGCTGGAGGGAGTTTTGCTGTAGTTGAGCTGGGTTTGTCAGGGAGCCCCAGAGAGCCAGGGGTGTGAATCCCTAAAGCTGCTCTTTTGGCTTTATCTGTTGAAGAAAGCTGCTGCAGCCTCTGATGCATCATAAATCCTTGCTTTGCAAAGTAGTGCCCTGAACCAGGGATGTGAGCTCACCGTCCCGAGGTCTGTGCAGGGAATGTTCCCGTGGGATTGGGTTCATCTCCACAATTGCTGGGGCCAGTCCAGTGCCCACTTCAGCGTGAGCTGGATGGGCTCTTTTATTTATTATTAGTTATTTATAAGTATTATACTTATTATATACTTATTTCATAAGTATTAAACTATGATTTGCATGAGATCCTGGGTTTCACAGCTTTGCCAATATGGTCCATTACTACTGCCTACAACAACTTGTGTACTTATATGCCTTTGAGAACATTTTTAATTGTTAAAATTGTTTAAAAAATCAATGTTAAGTTAATTTAATTTTTAATGGGGAAATGGATTCTGGTGTCAAAATGGTATTTACTGTGATGCCGATGTTTTGTACCTGTCATCTAGTTAAACAACGTGTAAATACTCTTGAGTCAAGAGAAATATGAATGCCAATTATTTATTGTTCTGTGGAGTTATATGTTGCAGATGTGTAAGAACTTAAAAGGGAATGTTGTAAAACAAGGTGGAAAAATAAATTTTATGCAACTTCTTTACTTCATCCAAGTATGATGCACCTGGTTAGTCCTGGCATGATCGGTCCCAGATGTGTGCAGATGGAATTGTCAGAATGCAGGGCAGGTTGCATTGTGGCCCTTTAATTTGTTTGTGTGGTAAATGCATATGCAAGAAATGATCAGTGTTTTGTGCTGATCAGTGTAGAGCTGCTTCCTTAAATTCAGATTTCTGAGAGTCCTAAGAGGGTCGTTCCTGCTGGTACCCACTGCTGTGGGTTAGGAGAAAGTCTTTCATTTGAAACATAGATATTTGCAGCTCTTGGAACAGCAATGATGCAATAGGAACAGCTATTTTTGGAATGTTCTCATCACTTGAACATTTGATTAAGTGACTGGCTCAGCACAAGAGCAGTCCCAGGGCCAGGGCTGGCTGCCCCAACACGGGGTCAGAAATGGGGGAGAGGCAGGAGTTTAACATGGAATATTCTCCACTGGGGGAATGTCCATAATGTTGATTACAAACACAGTACAACAGTTTTCTACCAAAAATGTGATAGAGCCATAAACACTTAAAAAAAAAGAAAATTAAAAATGGAATTGGGTAAAGTAAATCTCTAACTTGGGAGACTATTTAATGAAAGCAGTGATAAACTATCCCTCAGATCATTAAACATCTGTGAAAGTGTTTATTTTAGATTCCGTAGGACACAGATGCCCTTTTTCATCATTAACTTTTTTTGTATAAAATAGTTAATGCAAATATTAAATAAACAATTTTTGTGATGTTTGCACACATCAAATGAATGGTGTAGACTCCAGAAATTACAGGAACAGACTTTGCTCCCAAGTGTTACCAATTTCCCACTCTAAATGGGTTACATAAGCCCTAGTTAGTGGTTCTTTTAATTTATGGATGGTTTCTTTTTAATGGTGAAATGTGTAATTAAAAAAAGCTAGAAATAGTTTTTCTAAACTCACTCTGGAAGGGGAAGGAGAATTTCAGCAATTTTTTTTTTCACCCAAATATTGCATAATAGTAGAAATGTCAAAGATTTCCATGGGGTTTCATTCCATTCTTCATGTGGCTGTGGTCATACAAGAAGTTTGAACACTGCAGGGGTTGGCAGATTTTTGGAAGATCACGCATCCTGGGATAAGTTTTCAGCCTAGGCTTTACCAGAGAATGCCAGTGGCCTTGTTTTTCAAATTGTGGTTGTATTCTACACAAGTGTGTCTTTTTTTTTTTTTCTCTCCCCTTTTTTCTCCTGAAAAAAAAGAAGAAGGAATAGGTGCTGGCTGTAATTAGGTGTCTGGCCCTGTACCTGACGTGTTGTATGGAGCTGTACAGAGGTTTTCCTGTACCATAAACCATTTGGAGAGAAGAAAACTTGGTCAAACTGCTCTGTCTTCACCTCCTGATGGCCCAAGTCGTGGCAGCTGCAAACCTGCACTGCCCCTTCTCCCCTGCATTCCTGTGGTGTTAAATATTGTTGTGATAAATGTTCACCAGAGAAAGGGAACTGCTCCTGTTCCCCTTTCACAGGTAGGAGATGGGGGCAGAGAGAACCTGTGGTCTGGGCTGTCCCCACAGTCCATGGCAGAGCATGGAATGCAGGACAAGATCCACATTTTCATGACTAGACTTTTTCTGCATCTTAAGTATTGGAGTCAATCCTATAGGAAAGTTTTTTATTCCACAGAGTACTCAGATGTCTGGTGTTAAATTAAGAATGTGATTGCAGGTTTCAAAAAGGTCCTCTCCTTATGATTTGGAGTATTGATAAACCCCAATGCAAGAAATTCACTGGATTCTTCCACCTTCCACCTGGATCTGCAGATCCACATTCCATCTGTGCTAAACGTTCTGCAACTGCCTGTGGGAGTGGAGAGTTTGACAGTGAGCAGCAGTTGGCTGCAGAAAAGGCACCATTGTAACTGCACAGGTAATCCAGGGAAAAACTTCTAGTGTGGCAGCAATTACCAGCAGCACCAAGTCCTGGTCCAGCGCCTGCTTAAGACCAGTTTCAAAGCTGATGCTGTGGCTCCCTTAAGGCATGAGTTGCATTTTCTGGCCTTAAAGCTCTCTGGGTGCCTTGGGGCTCTGTAGTTTACATGGTGGATCTCTAAATTTTAGCAGCTTGTAATTAAAGTTACAGATGATCGGCATCTTGCAGGATCTGGCCTTCAGAAGAATGTCCTTCCCTCTGCTGCTCTTCCTCCCTTCGTGGCCCAAGACGCAACTGTTACTGAGTGGGTTACAAAAAAGGGCTTTAAAATCATTGCATTCCCACTTTAAAGCCTCCCGCTCTTGGCTTGCTGGAATTGTCCACGTAAGGAAGAATATTGTCTGCTGTTCAGATTCCCTCTCAGAAAGAAGTAGTAACAAGAACAATCTGTGCAAAAGAATTTAGCGCTTTAAAGATGGGGGTAATAGTCATTCTCATTTGTCCCTTTATGTGAAACAGATTTTATTTTAAATGTACACTCTGAGTAGCTTAACCATATCCAGAAACTTGTTTACCAGGGTAGAAGTAGAACTACCCACAGTATAAATTTAAGAGCATGAGAAGAGGTGAGTTGATTGTGCCGAGTGATTCTGCTTAGTCAGCTCAGCAGTATCCCCTGAGCACACCTTGGTGGGTGCTGGGGAGCAGGTATGTCCTGTGCTTGTGTTTTCAGCAGATTTGCTCATGTGTTTCACATCTGCTCTGCAAAAGCTGTGCCGAGGCATTACATTTCTGTGCCGTGGGCACGGGTCTGTCCTGGGCTGCATCTGCTGGGCTTAGGACGTGTCACACGTGCAACAGCAGATTTCACCAACCTGTGGCTTGTCCAAAAGTGAAGCCACTTGCCATTGGTCAGGATTCTTATTTAAATTGGGAACAGCCCATTTGTCAGTGACACTTTAACATAAAATGCCCTGTAGTGGTCTCATTGAAGCACGTTCCCTGCTCCACAGCGATGGTGAAGAAACAGCACTCGGAAAGGCAAGGGATGGTGCTCACAGAGGCAGGATCCCTCTGCACCTCTGTAAATTTGAGATTAAGGTTTGGAATATTTGTAAGGATCAGAGTTCCATCTGTCAGACAGTATCTCCCCTCCAGTGCAGTGGGTTCCAGTGAATCACCAGCACAGGCAGAGCCATCCCTGTCACTGCACAGGAAGGTTCCCCGTGTGAATTGTCTCTCTTGGGTGGGCCAGGGTGACAGTTTGGGACTGGGACCTTGAATGTTTTCGTTGCCTTTGGCTTTGATCTTTTTCCAACAGTTATAGAACAGGCCCCATTGAGGAGAGCTCAATGCTGGCTCCTCTCCTTACCTCTATTTATCTGTGTACATGGTAAGTAAAACCCCTGGAGAAGAGAAAGACTGGTTTTAAGCAGGATCTACACTATCATTGTCTGCTATGAGCTTCTCCAAAGAGGAGTTTATCAATTACTGTTTGCAGTGTGGCACAGGAACTTGGACCTTTTCCACCCTGACAGCTGGGTTGTAAAATGAAAAAAAAACAAACCACAAATTCTAAAAGACCAAGGTTAGATGTTCTCAATGCCTCATCTATCTCGATTTCTCCAGGTATATCTCTTTCAGTCTTTGGTATCCATTTGTTTATTTGTCAAGAGGCATTGCTACCTCTTATCTGGATCCAGATAAATTAACCAAAGTGACTTTACATTTTAGGCTGAAACTAGTGCCAGAATTTCTCAGGTGACCATCTGTAGACTAAAGTTTGATTCAAAGCTGCCCAGTTTTGCCTCTAGGAAGTCTTGAGCCTCACATTGATCAGATTTTGATATCTGATCTTTCCTACAAACAATCCAGAAAACAAATAATCTAAGTGAAATCTTTATTTTCAACACTAACCCATAAGGAGAAAATCTTTCCCAAATCAGATGGAACATGAGCATTGTGTTGGTATCTCAGTGGAAGACCCGTGGCTGCTGTAAATGAACAGGTCACACTCACCCACCCCCTCACACAACCCTCAGGTTTTGTTCAAATCTGAGTTGAATTCTTGCAAGTTCTCATTACTGAAGTGTGGAACTAATTCTTACAGGTGCCACGTTCACCATAAATTGCCTTCAGCAGAAAGAAACCTCTTGTATTTCACCTGTGAATGACAACCATTTCCTCCAGCAGCCGAGGTGTCTTTGTGATCTTTCACCGTCAGGATTCCGGGCCGGGCAGTGATTTACACGGCTCCCACTCTTCTCTCTTTCAGTTCCTGTTGCCATTCCAGCCCTGAGGAACATAATGCCACAAAGCCTTCAGTAAAACCAGAGCCTGGAGGAAATATCAGGTGTTAACATCCAATAAAAAGCTGACACGCTCGAATGAGCTGGGATTGCAGGGTATGGCCCAAGCAAGGACTGACCTAATGCAGGGCTTTTATGGTGGTGGCAGGTAAGGACTAATTATAGACCCTGGACTCCATCATGGACTGACTTGTCAAGTCAACTTAACGACTGAAGTGCCTACGGTTCCATGGTGGGGCTCTCTGCCCCTTTGGATAACTGAGTGCAGTTACTCCTAAAGAAACTTAGGGAGTAAATCTGAGGTGCTGAAAGAAATACTGCAATAGAAGTTACACTGTAGGGAAGGTTTTATATGTGTTGGGGTAAATTAATGACCGGGTTTGGGGTTTTTAGAAAATAAAAAACACAACAAACTTTGTGCACAAATTTACTTTAAAATATATTCTCTTTCGAACACCAGCTATTTTAACAACAGTGTAAATCAGATTTTACAGACCACATATTTCAAGTATGAAGTTCATTAAATGTGTGAAATTCTAGATTAGCTTCCGGGTGTGGCCAGAGCCCCAGTAGTGAATTATAAATTCTGTTCAGGATATAATATCAGATTCCCACACCCTGGCACTAATATTAAAGGACTAAAACCACCTTTTCAAAACAGTCATAACCTTTCTTTATTATCTTTATTTAGTTTAGCCATCATATGATATAATGAATGATTGCATCAGTGTTTCCATCCTAAACCTAATGCACAGGTGTCTAACTTGATTAATTTGTGGGTTTATTATT